GTGTTATTTATTCATCTAGCAGATGCTTCTGATGCGAGAATCAAGCTGAAAGTGTGAAACTACTGTTACTTTTTAATTAGAAGCCTGACTGGTTAGCCATCAGCTGTCTAACATATCAACTGGTGGAGTACAAAGTAGAAAAAAAGAAAAAAGAAAATTAAGGTACTTTGGGAAAAACAATTGTGCTTATATTTACATTCACCTCAGGCTGTGACACCGCATAAGTAACTGAAATATTATCCGTATCATCAGAGAGTAGCAGAAAACATGTAGATGGCTGCAATACATTTTTTTAGGCAAAGATAAAGTTTTCATATTTATAAGTATATCAAAGCTAAGAATGAGATAGTAAGTATTGCCTCCTTCTTCTCCCCCCTCAAATATTTTGGATAATTTCTCCCTCAGGTTATTTGGATCACTTAAGGCTTTAGAACAGTGTTTCTCAACTTTAGCATCTGTAAGATGTGTAGACTTCAATTCCCAGAATTTCCCAGCCAGCATTCTGGAAATTGGAGTTCACACATTTTAAAGTTGCCTAAGTTAAGAAACACTGCTTTTGAAGAGAGCTTCTTTACAGACTTAAGACAGAAGAGGGGAAGAATTAAACAGGCGGCACAATGTGTATGTATGTATGTATATATACACGTGTGTGTGTGTATATATGTGTGTATGTGTGTGTGTGTGTGTGTGTGTGTGTCTGGCAGTAATCCAGTATCTGAGGGACTGCCACAAATAGGAATTCAACCTATTTTCCAAAGCACAAGACAAGAAACAATGGATGTAAACTAATGAAGGAGAGAAGCAACCTGGAATTAAGGAGAAACTTCTTAACAGTGAGAACAATTAACCAGTGGAACAGTTTGCCTTCAGAAGTTGTAGGAGCTTTATCATGGAGGTTTTTAAGAAAAGACTGGACAGCCACCAGTCTGAAATGGTATAGGCTTTCCTGCTCGAGCAGGGGATTACACTAGAAAATCTCCAAGGTCCCTTCTAAGCTCTGTTCTGATTGATATATATATTAGCATAATTACACTGTTTAGTTAAAAAAACTGGAATTACTTTTGCTTAACTTCATAGATGCAATCATGGAGAAATTTTGCAAACGCTTACATGTCCACTGAGACTCAAGTCTAATCCCGTTTAGCATAGTTTCCATTTAATTAGGTTAGTACTAACCTTTAGGTAAAAGAAATTGACGAAAATAGATTAACTTCAAATAGGTTAAGACATAGATGTTTAGAGGAAACACAAATGCTGTATTTGTTACAGGAAGCTAAATGGGTCTCTCAAACATCACATGGGATGTTGCTTTACATCAAGCAGTGACCTGTAGGAAGATGGAAAAATTGTGCACTTGGTACAATCTAGCATACAGCCTAGTAGAGAATTACTTAATGCACGTATTTTTTAACACATCCTTAACTTACCATGACTTCATCTGTACAAAGGACGAGTAACTTTATTGTTTAGCATTTAATGTTTTAAAGTTTAAAGAATGAGTAAGAAATGAGTTAAGGAGCTTGACGCCTAACTTGTAACCTGCCTGCGAGCCCTCTTTTGTTCATGTAAAGTAGATGTAGCCTGTATTTGATAGTGGGAAGGGGTCTTGCATTTTGGAACTGATTTAATTAGTTCTTGACCAACCTATCCAGCCCCTACAAATAAACTATCTGGAGTTCGAGTATGGTGGTCTTGACTGAGAAGACAAAGCAGAATGAACCTTGCTATAAAATAGCAGAGAAGTGATGGGATAGGATAGGATAGGACAGGACAGAAGAGAATATCAGAGTTGAAAGGGACCTTGGAGGTCTTCCAGTCCAACTCCCTGCTCAAGCAAGGTATTCTATATCAATGGTAGCGAACCTATGGCACGGGTGCCAGAGGCGGCACTCAGAGCCCTCTCTGTGGGCACACGCGCCATCACCTCAGTCCTAGGCCTTCAGCTGGGTTTTATAAAACCTTTTCGCTTTAGGCCTCCACTGCCGTGTGCAAAAAAAAAAAAAAAAGGTTCAATCAATCAGTCAATTTCAACTTCTCATGGGGAAAAAAAAAAGATCTTGCAAAGTTGGAATTGATTGAACTTTTTAGTCCCACCCAGTCTGCCGTTACCACAGCCATGCCCACCCAATGGGCCACACCCCAATTGACCACACCCAGCCAATGGGCCACACCCATCCGGCACCCAACGATGTGTAAGTGGGTTTTGGGTTGCAGTTTGGGCACTCGGTCTCTAAAAGGTTCGCCATCACTGTTCTATATCATGCCAGACAAGTCTCTTCTTAAAAGCCTCCATGATGGAGCTGCCACACTGGAGGCAAACTGTTCCACTGGGAGAGAGGAAGCTGTGAAACTCATGTTTTTTCCTCTAACTGATCTCAATATGTTTTCTCCATATCATTTCCAAATAGGAAAGATGTTTATCCAACCCATAAATATCCATACAAGGGATCTAATAACTACTCTGGCTTATAATAATTTGTGGTTACCTAAGAAAGTGACAACAGGATAGTATTCCAAATCGATTCAACTCAACTACAAGTCAATCATGGTTGAACCCTGGGCACAGAAATATTCAGTTGTATTGTTTCTAATCAAGGCATCAGGTTAGAAACCAGGAGACTGCGAGTTCTAGTCTTGCCTTACGAACGCCAGTTGGTTGACCTTGGGCCAGTCATTCTCTCAGCCCTAGGAAGGAGGTAATGGCAAACCACTTTGGATATCTTGCCAAGAAAACTGCAGGATGCTGGCTGGGCGATTCTGGGAGTTGAAGTCCACCCATCTTAAACTTGCAAAGCTTGAGAAACCCTGCAAAAGGGTATCAGATTGTGCAGTGCTATTGTGCTTAGGAGCCAATCATTTCAGCCAGTGATATCTACTTTTGATTTCGGCATTAAAATGCTTTCACAAAACAGCAAAAACTTCAAAATGTATATACTGCCATGTGCTATCTTTCTTTGTTCCCTAAAAATTTTTCTAATGCCTATACTGGCAGGAAATTTGGAGAACTGTAATCTTGCCCCGTGGTGGCAAACCTATGGCACGCGTGCCACAGGTGGCACGCAGAGCCCTCTCTGTGGGCACACGCACCATCGCCTCAGTCCTATGCCTTCAGCTGGGTTTTATAAAACCTTTTTGCTTTAGGCCTTCACCGCCGTGTGCAAAAAGAAAAGTTTAATCAATCGATCAATTTCCACTTCTTGTGGGGAAAAAAAAAGATCTCGCAAAGTTGGAATTGATTAATTGAACTTTTAAGCCCCACCCAGTCTGCCATTACCACCACAGCCATGCCCACCCAATGGGCCACACCTACCCAATGGGCCACACCCACCCGGCACCTGATGATACATAAGTGGGTTTTGGGTTGCAGTTTGGGCACTCGGTCTCTAAAAGGTTCGCCATCACTGATCTAGCCTAACAATCCTGGGAAGCATGAGGTTGGCCCATAAATGCTTTAATAGTTTGCAGGAAGAAAAAAGTCTCTTCCAACAGAACTAGGAACTTTAAATAGAACTGTCTGGAAAGCCCTGAAAAGAGAAAGAAGTTTTATCTTTAAAGCAATGATTCATTCCACATTCGCACCCTTCTCATCAGAAGGGCTCTTGACCCTAAAAAGGTGAACATGTTGATAGTGAGATTGCTACACTGCCAGACTGTAGGAGGGCAAATTACCACAGCTTTAAATTAAAAAAATATACAGATTGCTCATCTTGAGAAAAATTGCCATTATATCTTAGCCACCTCTTGCTGTCTACCATTATATTTCATTTCTTCCCTTGAATCTTTCAGTCCCACTTAATCTATTGTTAGAATGTGCAGCTTCAGATACTGACCTGAATTAGCCTTCTGTATTTTTTTTTTTTTTTTTTTGCAGAGCCAAAACATAGATTGGATGCAATATTATCCAACTTGGCAATAGCTCAGGGTATAAAACTGGCCAATTAACAAGCTTTATCTTGGATGCCTATTGTGCAAAGAAGCTTCACTGGGTTGATCAGACCATGCTTTGAATTATGGCACAGTTTGCCTATGCCCTATGTGGTATCTTACTATTACAAAACAGCAACTGATTGGTCAAGAAGCCACAATGCTAGGGAAGATTTTGAGAATTTGGTTCTCTGACCTCTTATCAAGTAACCTGCCCTCCAACTCTTGTGTAAAAGGATACTTCAACCGCAAGCAGTATTGAAATCAATGATAAAGTAATATTCGAGCTTATGTACCCACCAACAAAGCCAACAGGGTTCATAACATCTAAGTGACTAATTACAAAAAGTAGGTAAGAATAGATAAGCTTGGAAAAGCTGTTTTTCCTCTAAGAAACTTTAAAAAGCAACACAGTAGGCTAAGTTGTTCATGCTGCTGAAACAGAACTGGTATTGCAGAAGTTAGGACAAAGCATATACAATCAATGGGATTAGACATCCAAAATTACAGTTTGGTTTATTTTCAAAAGTTTCTGCTGGCACAGTATTTTAAGAAGATTTAAAAAGTGATAAAGGTATAGTCTTAAGTTACACTAACTTGTATGTAGCGAGGATGCCATTAAGAGGATGGAAGTTAAAGAATCCTATCCAATACCACTTGCAAATAAAGGCAGCAAGAGAAAGTTTTTTATTGTGTGCAGAAATTTAATTCCCAGAATGAGTGGAGAAATAGATTCTGGGAACTTCATTATTTTTCATGTTGCAAAAAAATTACCAGAAGTAGAGCGGAGAGAAAAATCAAAGGGGCTAACATTTCAAATCAATTTATATGACAGACTATGAATTAAAAAATAGCAGCTGTAGATATTAAACTTAGATCTCCATTTTCATCTCACATCTGAAATATGTGCATAAAACGTCTATATAAAGGAAGTGTTTCACAAAGCTTTAGAGACAATTTCTTCTTTTTTAAAAACAACTGGTCAATACAATTATCTACAATTATTTTTCCAGGGGCTTCCACTTCTATTGATTTTTCAAACTGTTGGACAAAAGTTAAAAAAAAAACATCAGCAGCTAAATTTTAAATCGCTGGGCAGATATAAAGGTTGTCTGGAATTCATCACCATATTGTCACGCTGAAATATAAGCTTTTTTTAAAAAAATATTTCTTTTTGATAGAACGTTGAAGGCTTCTATATTAAAGAAAGTCTATTATCTCTATTTCAGAGGTGAAACAAATATTTTACTTTAGATATTCATCCATGCAGTAGTTACTTGACAACATCCAATGTATAAAGACTATTAAAAATGCAGTTCATTTTAATGAATGGCTTACACTGAGCAAAATATCTCCATGTAAAGCAATCTGTGCAAACTAATATGTTATCTGTAACAAGGTCCATCTTTTGTTTGCTCGGCAGACAAAATCAGAGAATTCCAAGTGGTTTCACTTAGTGTCATCTAAAACCTAACTAATCGCCACTAAGTGCTAACTAAGTACCACCATTTATGTCAGCATATGGTTGCCTGAACACTTAGGACTTCTTTTGGTCCACATCACGTTAAGCTGCAGCTCCTTTTTCCAACCACTTCATATCAAATGAGTAGTTGATCGACTGAAGGTGTGGCTTCTCTTTTCAAATACTGATGGCAGATTGATCAAGGAAGGAGAATGGATGCTCTGTATTGTTTGGGAGAGAGGGGAAAAAGCAAATGTTAAGACTGTAATTTCTTGTAGAAAAAAATATATCAATAATATACCTTTCAAAATGAGAGAGAGGGGGAGGAAGCATGATCAAAGCTATTTTGGGAAACAGAATGAGAAAACTTTTTTTAAAAAAATTCTAAAACATAAATCTTCCAAATGTCCTGAATATCATGTATGGAATTTCTTACCCCCTTTTTCATCGCTAAAGCAACTCCATGTGCCTTCAGCAACACTATTGTGTGTACATTGCATTTATTTTAAGTTACAGCTTCCCATGACTTTTATGTCCTGCAAAGTTCAGGTCTGATGTAACCAACCGTCAAAAGAGAGGAAAACACTAAGACCCCATTTGTTATTTAATTTTAAGAAGTTTCACCCTACCAAGCTTTCCAATCTTAAAAAAAAAAAACAGTTGACTTGCTTATTTATAACAAATCTTATCTTCTTAGGACCAAATGGCACTCTCATTCAGAACAGATGGTCCTGTTGGGCCTATAGCTGCTCTTCAAAGAGCAAGGGGCAGGGACTGAGAGGGCCTCTACATAACCATCTTGGGCACCATTTATGGCAGTTCCTGGATCAGGAGATCCTGCATATGGTCATTCATGCTTTAATCATTTCTTGGTTGCATTCCTTAAATGTGCTTTACATTGAGCTGTTCTTGAAGACCACCTAGAAGCTACAGATTGTACATTATTTATAAAAGTACTGAATGTGTACATCTAATTTGTATGCTACCTAGCTCATTGCAGCTCTGGACAGGGTATACTTAAGTTAAAAAAACATACCCAATGAAATAAAAACTAAGAAGACAATAACCTGGGAATGATACACTGGGAAATCAATACAATTCCCGCAAAGGTCCATACTTCTTAACCCAGCACTTGTGGAAAGAGCCAGGTCTTCAGCGCTTAAAGCATTACACAGGCCCCTTAAACCTCCAGGAAATACTGTGTATCCCAAAGGTGCTTTTTCACAAAGCAACTGGACTTTCATTTTTCTCTTTGAAGACGTTTTGCTTCTCATCCAAGGAGCTTCTTCAGCTCTGACTGGATGACTGAGAATCTTCATAGACATGTGGTTTGAGTAATTATGGGCACTCCTCATTGTGCCTTTGCACTGGTTATCAGCAGACTTCCAGATGTGGTTGTCTGGATGCTAGCTGCCGTTTTTAAAGCCTTATGTGGCTTAGGACCTGGATATTTTTAAGAATGCCTGCTCTTTATAAGTTTGGGAAAGGAGGGCTTCCTTTGGGAATTGGGAATTAGCCTTGGGACCCTTGAAAATAGGCCTTTCTCTGTCACTGTTCTTCTTCCTACCTAAAATTAGAGCCACTCCAACACTTTTGGAAAAAAAGGAGGTCATTGAGACCTGCTTGCTGCAGGAAGCCTTTGCCCTTCCCTTCCTCCAAATCTGTGATGGAAATCTATATTGGAATGCAATTAAGGATTATAAGTGCTGTTTTATTATTGCTAGCTTCATCTTTGTTACAGACGGAATGCATGCCACTAGTATCTTGAAGCAGCTTATATGCCTGCATAATGAATTAACTAACTAAATTTGCCACCAGTTTTAAAGATCATTTAAACATTTTGATGGTCTGTACTGACGTGCTGAAACCCAAAGAAAGGAAAAGAAAAGTTGGCCACGGTGCATCTCATCCTAGGTGCTTTTTCAAAAGGTAAGTTCTGAACTGAAATGAAGAAGCTTCTTGGATGAGAAGCGAAATGTCTTCAAGAAAAAAACAAAAACAAAAAAAAAACCAAAGTCCAGTTGCCTTTTGAAAAAGCACCTTTGGGACAACCATGACCTGAGTGATTAAGAATCTCCATAGACATCTCATCCTGGGCTATTTTGTACCACTGGGACCATGAACATCTCTTGATGGTTCTACTACAAAACAGCAGCAAGGAAGGATGGACTGTTATGATATGATGTCTAAACTGTTTTTACTCAGGAAAGTTTAGGATTTTTTTTTAAAGGGGGGGGAATCTAACATTTTGAAGTTATCATAAACATGAGAAGAAACCTAGAAGTAAGCATTATCTTATCTGATACAGACTGTTAAATCAAAAGATCAAGATAGTGCCCAGAAAACCCAAAGAGAGCCAGAATCTATTGGATCTTGGATAGACCATGTGCCATATTTAACACAAATTATTTTGTCTCCAAGAAGTGTCCCCAAAGTGATGATGCTCACTTTAAGCAGCTTAAACTTCATCACTGCTGATGATTGGATAACAACTGGTCAGAGAGCAGCTCTTTAAGTTTTCAGAGCTGGAAGCCATTCGTCCTTCTAGATCATGGGAAGAACGGACTAGAGGTCGAGATCTAATGTTTTGGGAGGTCCCGTCAATAGAGTTGGAGCGTTGTATGTTAAGGGTGTGTTTAATTAGTCCATTTAAGCTGTATGTAGAAGCAGTACGCATCATCTAAAAACAATATAGGAAGGAGGAAGAAAACAGGTTAATCTACATATTGTATCCAAGCAAGTTTTAAGGATTTTACATATGGTACTTTCACTAACACAGATTTTAACTGTAATTAGAGCTCTGCTACTCTTCAAATCAAAATACCAAGAATGTCCTTTCAACCCAACAGTGGAACATATTCAAGGCAGTCTGAACAAGATCTACTGTACCCTGATCATGATTTTCTTACCAATATAATTAATTTTTCAGCTGTTACAGTAATATAAATCTCTCAGAAGGGAAAAAAAATCTTTCTAACATAAGGCCACCAGAAGCTGGCAGTTGCATTAAGATAAAGAAAGCATTTGACACCTCCTTCTCTATAAAGATATCCCTAAATAACATCAAACACCTGTTTAAATCTTTAGATCTTTAACCTTAATAACCATACAAATTATAAAGCACATGCACTGGGTCCCAGTAGATTCTGATAAACAAAAAGGCGTTGAATGTCTCTTAAAAATCTATTTTTGTTCCTTTGACTTCCTATCAACTATGCTAAAGTTTAGATATCATATACACACTTCTCAATAGAGGCAGTTGTTGGCCTGCAACCAAGATTATGATGGAGCTGCAGAAGGTAGCTAGGGCTGGTCTTTGGAATTCCAGCCATCCTAGCACCCCTGAAGTCATGTGATTGTGATCTGCACGTTTGGCAGCTGGTTCCCACTCACAACCTGTTACACTGCCCCATGATCATGGGATTGCCAATTTCAACCTTTGCTTGGACTTCCTCAGAAAATCAGTGTCTCCTTAAAAAGCCAGGGAAGGATGCAAGTTGCTGGGATAAGTCTCTCCCACCAATGCACCCTCCCCCAGCCTGTCTGCCTTTGTGCTGGATCTATTTATTATTTATTTTATTTTTAAAATTTATAAGCCGCCCCACTCCCGGAGGACTCTGGGCGGCTAACAATAAAAACACATAAAACATAACAAAACAAACAGTACAAGAACAGTCATCCAGGGGTCAGATTTTATAAACCCCAGGCCTGCCGGAAAAGCCAGGTCTTAAGCACCCACTATTACTTGCGCGGTTGCATTCTGGACCAACTGTAGTCTCCGAATACTTTTCAAGGGTAGCTCCATGTAGCGCGCGTTGCAGTAGTCCAGACGTGAGGTGACAAGGGCATGAGTGACTGTAAGGAGAGCCTCCCGGTCCAGGTAGGGTCGCAACTGGTGCAACAGACGAACTTGTGCAAAGGTCCTCCCAGCCACAGCCGTCAAATGATGTTCCAATTTCAGCTGTGGATCAAGGAGGACACCCAAGTTGCGAACCCGCTCCGAAGGGGGTATATTTTCCCCCACAAGAGTCAACACTGGACAGTCAACATGATCCTTGGGAGGCAACATCCAAAGCCACTCGGTCTTGTCAGGACTGAGCCTGAGTCTGTTAACCCCCATCCAGACCCTCACGGCTTCGAGGCAACGGCCCATCACATTGGCCGCTTCACTGAGAGAGCTCGGGGAGGAGATATATAACTGGGTATCATCAGCATACTGATGAAACCTCACCCCATGCTGTCTGATGATCTCACCCAGCGGCTTCATATAAATTGTCATATAAATGACAATTCACCACGGCCAATTTGCCATAATCAGTTTGCTGCAGCCAACTCGCCATGGGACAACTTGCTGTGGGGCAAGTGTTACGCTAATATCAAAGAAATGACGGAATAGAATCATTAAAGAAAGGATGCCAAAGGAGGGACAAAATGAAATGTGAAAGACAAACATTAAATAAATAAATTGAATAGTTAAATTGTCCTGCGGTGAGTTGTCCCGCGGCGAGTTGGCTGTGGCAAGTTGTCCCATTCTGCTTGTGCTATGCCAGGCACTCATGCTCCCCAGGATACCCTCCGCAACCCACACCATGCCTCTCATGCACCCCATTGCATTTCCTCACACCCTTCACAATCTGTACCTCTAGTGCAGGGGTAGGCAACCTTAGCTCTTTTATGACTCGTGGACTTCAACTCCCAGAATTCCTGAGCCAGCATGGCTCAGCTTGGAAACCTCTTCCTTTCCCCTCAGCATGGCTGGCTCAGGAATTCTGGGAGTTGAAGTCCACGAGTCATAAAAGAGCCAAGGTTGCCTTACCCCACATCCCCACTGCACCTCTTGTGCACCCCTCAGACCAACATGTGCTTCCTATGCACCCTCTTGCACCCTACCCAACCCACACACCTCTCTCACACAGCCCTGCACATCCTCTCTGACCGGTCCCTTTTGTGAACCCCTCACTCCCTCTCCCACTTGGCACAGCCACTGATATATGTCTGAACCATGCAACTTCCTGCCAATTTCCCCATTTGTGGGAAGCATCAGGAAGTTGCCTCACTTAATAGTTGAGATTTGATTAACAGCAACCAGGACCACAGCAAATAATATGGCCACATTTTACAGCCACATCGCCTAGCGATGGAAATTCCAATTCCAATTGCTATTGTATGTTGAGAACTACCTCTATGCTAAAATAGGACACAGAAGACTGTAACAATACAATAATGACCAGTAGTAAAATATTTTTTTCTTCCTTGAACACAACAAAATCTGATCAAGACAAAGAGCAAAGGAGAATCTGTTGCTTTTCAAGCACTGCTGAAGTAATTAAGCTGCTAAAGTTTAACAGAACTCCTTTAACATAATTTTGTTCTGATCAAATGTGCAAAAAATATAAAGTTTGTCTGGTTGGGGAAAGGGGAACAGGAAAGTCAGTCATCACAGGCTTTTGCATTAATAATAATAATAACAACAACGACAAAAACAACAAAAACAATAATAATAATAAAAAGTTGGAAGGGACCTTGGAGGTCATCTAGTCCAACCCCCTGCTGGGTGGCCAAAGAAAGTACAAATCTATTAATGAAGTTTTCGCCCCAAATTCTTGGTTGAAGTTAATAGTTTGAATATTTTTAGCAAATTGCTTTTCCTGTAACTGGTTCTTCATGTGGTCCTCTGGGCATTCACATGTGTAAATTCATGTCTGCACAGACCAGTGATGAAGGGCAAAACTCATTGCCTCTGTTTATATGGGATGCTGGTATCATTTGAACAATCTTGTCAAAGTTCTAAATTCCAGCTACACAAACAATGTCATTACATACGAGATGGTCTTTATGGTTATTCAACTGTTTTTAAACTTTTTCAGATACTCTGAAAACATTTGTTTTGTTTTCTCCAAATCTCTCATTTGACATCTATTAAATCAACTTCCAGCATGTCCATCGTGCTTTTTTATTTCTGGATACTATTAGAAAATATTTCTTTATTATTGAGGATTCTATTCTTTGCTATCTTCTGGCTACACTGACCAGATAGCTGGCACGACTTCAGAAAATTAAAATATGTGATATCAGCAAGTCCATTATTCCAATAAGCACAACCCAGAACTCAGCCTTCCCCTTTGCTTGCATATTAGCCCTGATTTCCCCAGGCAAGTCACTTACCGCTAAAGATGAGGTACTGGCAAGGCGGCTCCCTAAAAAGCTTTCACTAGTGGTGCAGAAATTCTTTCCGTCTACGCTGTTGTGGGCTATCAAAGCTCTTCGAAGCGCTCTCTTTGGGGTCTTGGAAAAAGAGAACGCTCGGGTAACCTGCAAAATGTTGACATGGAAAAAGGGATGGGTAAAACAAAGAAGTTGTGCCCGATACTTAAACTGGTTCTAAATCTTCCAAAAAGAGTGTGCTGACTTGCAAGTACACTATGATTCACAGAATGTTGCAATCTCATTTCAGGTTATATACACTGCAACTTCAAATTTCCTTTTCTTAAAGCAGTCGTGCAGCTCTGTCATAGACTTTCAAATGATTTACCGGACTGGTTAGTTTTTTACAGTATTGATTTGTTTTACCGATTTATATTTCACTTTCCTTGTGCAAACTTGAGGCAGGACCGAGCCTCCTTCAGCTTCAATCCTTCAACAGCCTGCTTGAATTAGGTTTGGCTGTGAGCTTTGTTACTATTAATTTATTTTACTCTTCTCAGAATGACAAGAGAACTCTAATAAATAGGGAAACACAGGGTGTAGAGTTTCACAGCTCCCCAGCTGGTGAAATTATATCCAGGCAATGGTTGGTGAGAATGTTCTAACGTTAGCCAGGCTAGCAAAACATCAGTACAGGTAATCCTCGCCTGACAGTCACAATTGAGCCCAAAATTTCTGTTGCTAAGCAAGGCGGTTAAGTGAATTTTTCCCCATTTTACGACCTTTCTTGCCACAGTTGTTAAGTGAATGTGGCCTCCCTATTCATTTTGCTTCTTAGAACGTTGCAAAAGATGATCATATGACCCCGGGACACTGCAACAGTCACTAAATGAACTATTGTAAGTCAAGGATTACTTGTATTCATTGTCTCACACAGCATTCCCTGGAAGTCATTTCCCCACTAAAAGAGGAAATAATAAGGGAAAAAGAATTTTTGGGGGGGGGGGGTAAATACCTCTCTGCTGAAGAAGTTGGCAGGGAGGAACCCCCCCCCTCCATCCCTACAGAAAGCACTGCAGATGAAAAGCTCTAAAAGAAACTTTTTTTTTTCCAGGCCAAGCCATTCAGTTCAAAGCTGTTCCTTCCTTATCAGTCTTTGCAACCTTTCTCTCCTCTGCCCCACCCCTTTCTACAGGCCATTTGTTCAATTTCTCTCCTACTGTATGTGGCATCATTTTCCTATAGGAAGTAAATTAAGAGTGGCATGGCTTCACAATCTCTTCAGAAACGCAGGATATGTACCAGCGCGTTTAAAAAAAAATGTACTTGGAAAATACTAAAGATCTGTATTTTATCATAGTTGGGATCAAAAATTCAGGCCTTGTGAGTCTTGCCGAGGATGATTTTAACTGCTTTTTTTATTTTTTTAAAAAAGGCCTAACAGGGATTTAAATAGCTTTATTTTAAGAGTATATGGATTTTGCGGGAGAGGGTTTTCTTAAGCAACCAAGACCCTGACATCAGATTAAGGCAGTAAGATGATGGGGTTTTGTATGAAAGCCAAAATAAGGCAGCAAAGTATTTAAAATTTTATATATATATATATATATATATATATATATATATATATATATATATATATAATTTCACTGGGAAATGAAATTGTGTCCTCAGTTTAGAATTCAAGGAGTCAAATCCTTTTCAAGCTAAGCCTCTTACCTTCTTCGAGGTTTTCTTTATGGCCCGTGATGCTCTACTCAATGTACTATCCACATCTTTCGTGTTTACTTCAATAGAATCAGGATCAGTGGCATAAATAAGATTTTCCTGGCAAGAAAAAGTCCCAACTATTAGCTTCAAGGGTAAAAAAAAAAAAAAAAAAGCCATCTTAAATTTCAAATCCACGTTCAAAAACCCAGGACTTAACTCCCCAAAATTCACAAGCCTACCTTTCCATAGTAGACAATTTTTACACTACATCTGACACATTATTCTGGTATTGACCACAGTATAGACACTTTCTACTGTTTATTTGGCAAATGGAGGGGGGGGGGGAGAATCAGGTTTTAAGCCTCTGCTGCCACCATGTGGAAATGGTGTACAAGTAATTTGAGAAAACAAAGCTTTTGGTTTTTTTCTAGAAGGATACAAACCACACATAGTCAAGAAATCAAGATTCCCTTATGCTAGAATAGGAGAGAGATAAGCCATGCGTCACCAGAGGAAGGACAGATGTGACTTGCACTGCTGAAGTAGAACATGTATCTAAGCTCTGTTTGTAATTCAGCTTGACACCAGGTTCGTCTTGAACCTGGAGATGGGTTCTCTGATACCTCCATATCGTTTATCACAACGTCTATGGCCCCCAACCTTTTGGGCACCAGGAACTGGTTCTGTGGAAAGAGGCTTTTCTGCAGATCGGAAGGGATGTGGTTTTGTGTGCTGCCTGCATCCCGTGGATGAGGCTTCGCTGGTTTGCATGGACTGATTTCTGACATGATGCGGTCTGGTCTAAAAGACAGGGTTTTTTTGTTTTAAATGTGCTCAGAAAACTTCAGAGCTCAATGGAGCATATATGTGACATTCATTTACCATTGCAACCTAAGATATACCATAGGTAACACAGTATGATCTATCTATACTTGTGGACAAAAAAAGCAAGTATTTTAAATAATTTCCTTCCTTCCTTCCTTCCCTATACACCTCACATTTTTAATGTAATTTATACCTCACCTTATTTTTTAATAAACAATTCAAGGCAGAAAACATCTGTAATATTCCTATTTTCTCCTATTTTTCCCACAACTTGGGAAATGTGACTGGCCCAAGATCACTCACCTGGTTTTCATGGCTAAGGCAGGACTAGAACTCACAATCCCCCAGTTTCTAACCTTAACTACTAGACCAAACTGTCCATCTATATCAGTGGTTCTCAACCTGTGGGTCAGGATCCCATTTGGGGTCGAACGGCCATTTCACGGGGGTCGCCAAACAACGCAGTCCGCCATTTTTTCCCCCTTTTCCTTAGCTGTGCTACTCCCTTTTATTCTATTGGCTTTTGAAAGCCAATAGAATAGACTCTCTTGAATAGAGTCTAATTCTATTGGCTTTCAAAAGCCAATAGGAATTGTCCAGGCTGTCTCTGCCCTGCTGAGCCCGCCAAAAGTCCCATTCTGCAAACGGTGCTGCACCAGTTGAGTAGTCCTCGACTTATGACCGGTTGAGTAGTCCTCGACTTACGACCGGTTGGGGGGGGGGTCGCGGCATTAAAAAGGTTGAAAATCACTGATCTATATATTTTATTATGTATTATAGTACTTTAATGCCTGATTCATTTTATTTCCAAGACAGATCTTATTTCCTTTTATAATAATAATAATAATAAAACATCCACATCTGCCTATCCCAGGTCCTGGGTAAGGACTCGATAGGTAGACAAAATGCCAAATCCAGTCTGAACATCTGGCTGACTGTGCGATGATCGATAATAATTAATAAATAAATAAATAAATAATGATGTTGGAAGGGACCTTGGAGGTCATCTATCCAACCCCCTGCTCAGGCAAGAAACCCTATACCATTTCTGACAAATGGCTGTCCTGTTTTTTCTTAAAAACTTCCAGTTTTGATTTGGAGAACCCAATCAATCAAGTGGGCATCTCAAAAACATAAGTTCCACTAATTTTATCCAACTTATTTTTATTCTGCATTTGAACAAAATCAAAAATGTGGCAGCTAAAAGAATAATTTCTAAAATACTAAAAATATCAGAAAATTTAAATAAAAAGAATGTAAACAAACAGCTCTTACAATAATTGAAACAGACAGCTTTCCCAAGAAGAATCTTGTCAGAGAGCCAACAATCATGGCGCAAATGCTTCCTGAAAAGGAAACCATTCTGTGCCAAGAGTTTACCTCATACCACAAAGGCTGACATGTAAAACAGGCCCATAAGTGGTGATGTTTCCGTGCTATTCAATTTGCAGCATTCAAGTTTTATATTTCTAACACCAATGTCTGCCAGTAGACCACCTAAAAGACATTACTGTGCCATTTGGGAATAATGTCTCCATAATAAGCTGGTCCTTGGTTTATGGAGTGTTTTATAATCTGCAGATGCTATCCCCTGACTGTTCAAAGCATGAATAGGATTTGCCAATGTACTCATTAGAACTCTGCTAACATACTTGGATTATAGCAATAATAAGTTTACTTGTCATACACAGATCTCCTATATCCTCAACATGACCAGAGACAACTATATGCCAAACAATATATTCCTTGATGCCTGCTGGGTCCTATTGCTTTTGGTTTAAGATTTTCAATTTTTAAAAAAGTAGACAGTAAAATACTGGGAAGCAAAGCATTAGCTTCAAGGATAATTTGAATTTGGATCGAAGGCAATGCAATGTTCTGCATCTGATTCAGAAGAGGTGATTTGGAATCAGCAGGATTGTGAATGCAGCACTGGTCTGTGACTCATTAAAGCAGCCACATTTATTTTTTGGAACTTCAGGGAAAGTCCTTCTTCAGCAGCCATGGGAACCCAGAAAAAGAGGCGGCTGCTTCAGTGAGCCCCAGATAGATGCTACATTGGTTCTCGCTCTGAAGTACCTTTTCTGAATCAAATCCAAAACACTGCAGAGCCCAAGGTTTAGGATCAGGTATACAAGTTAGGATCAGGTGTACAAGGTAGAATCTGTCTACCCAACATTGTCTAGCAAAACATTGCTTCCAATGCTGGAAGTGATGAGGGCTCTCAGAAAACCAGATCCTCACAAGAATTCCACTCCCTCCTGAAATATCATGCTTCAAGAGAGCAAATGTGTCCCTTGCAATCTTCAGAAAAATGGTTGAGACTGTTTTGTTTCACAGGGCATTTGAGTAGGAAGATCTCCCAAAGTTGGCAATATTTTTTCTTTTAGGAATAGTATCTTTTGTTAACCTTTTTTTCATTTACTGGGTTTTAACTGCCTAGAGTTGCAAGGAGTCAGTGGCAATACAAATGAAGCTTAATAAATAAATCCCACCAATGCCTCTGGGCTTCAAGCACTTTTAGGGAATTAAGTGGTGGGAAGCTGCTCCCTTGTGGTTGATTGGGAATTTTTCCCAGGCAAAAAACAAGGAGATGATGGAATACTGAACAACCTGGGAGGCTAGAGAAGATGGCAAGAGTCCCTCACTACTCTTCTGGCAAATAGCTCAGCCATTTTGTGAGCATACTCATAAATGTTTGAGAAATCCCAAATGTGATTCCCAACCTCAAGATTAGAGGTCACCTGTTCTATTAACTCATTCTATAATGTGTGCTCCTCATCAACTTTCATCTCAAGTGCTTACAGCATCCGCTTTGCATATTGTGTTTGCTACATGCCGACACAGCATCTTCAGCCAATCCTCCTTGAGAGGTTCTTCCGTTGTTATTTGAAAAGTGAACAAAAGATTGCTTTGCTCCGTCGGCGGCCGCACAACCAATGCAAAGGCTTTGTGGCAGTCTGTAGAGAAAAGATTTTTTTAAAAAAATAAATAAAAATAAACAATTAAAGGAGGAAAGCATGTACTAGAGAATATTGCAGAGAACATTAAGTTGAGGTAAGAACTAACATTTATAGTCCTGAACATTAACAAGCAAACCATATCAATATATAATTGGCTCTTTGTATATTTATATCTAGCTGAATTTCCTTTCCCCATATTAGCTCTCATTTTCATGGCTTCCTGAAAGCTTCAAATTGCTACCCAGTACAGCAGAATTGTGCTACCAGAGAATTTAATTTACTGGGCTTCAAAGACCAAAAGAAATGCTATTAAAAGAATCCACTCCTATAAGAATTTCCCAACTCTGGGGCCTATAGTGGGTAGTTTCTCCAGCCACCGAAAACTACACGACTAAAGCTAATTAAGCGGTAATAATGCTGCACAATATTTTATGGAGCCACTCTAAACCTGCAGTGGCTGAAACAAGGTACAGAGTCCCAAGGGACAAAGCTGGATATATAGAATAAAGACGTAAAAGCTAAATATCTACAAACTCAACCACAACAAAGAGTCAACGCAGAGAATTCAAAATAGCTACATTTGACATGTCTTCAGAGACAGAGGTCAGACCCTTGAGAACTTCCACTCTGTTCCCACTATTAGAGTGAAGTAATATACTGGTATTGCTGGCTGGGGAATTTGGGGAGTTGAAGTCCATGTCTTAAAAATTGCCAAGGTTGAGAAATATTGGATTATAGTGACATATGACATTTCAGAAAGCCCACTTTCCACAATCTTGGCTTGAATTTTAAGCTGTATTGTCATTTTTTTACTGTGAGCAGGCTGGCCCATATATATGGAACAAAACTGACTGAATCTAGATGGATCCGTAGCTGGCTGACCGGCCGTACTCAGCGAGTGGTCCTCAATGGAACTGCATCTATATGGAGGGAAGTGTCTAGTGGGGTGCCCCAGGGCTCTGTTCTGGGCCCAGTACTCTTCAACATCTTCATCAACGATTTGGATGAAGGGATAGATGGGGAACTCATCAAATTTGCAGACGACACCAAGCTGGCAGGAATAGCCAACACTCCAGAAGACAGGCTTAAGATACAGAAGGATCTGGACAGACTTGAACACTGGGCACTAACTAACAAAATGAAATTCAATGGTGAAAAAAGCAAGGTTCTACATTTAGGCAAGAAAAACCAAATGCACAAGTACAGCATAGGTGGCACCATGCTCAATAGTAGTAACTGTGAGAGGGACCTCGGAGTCCTAGTAGACAATCACTTAAATATGAGCCAGCAGTGTGCTGCAGCTGCCAAAAAGGCCAACACAGTGCTAGGCTGCATTAACAGAGGGATAGAATCAAGATCACGTGAAGTATTAATACCACTCTTCAATGCCTTGGTAAGGCCACACTTGGAATACTGCATCCAGTTTTGGTCACCACGATGTAAAAAAGATGTTGAGACTCTAGAAAGAGTACAGAGAAGAGCAACAAAGATGATTAGGGGACTGGAGGCTAAAACATATAAGGAACGGTTGCTAGAATTGGGTATGTCTAGTTTAACGAAGAGAAGGACAAGGGGGGGCATGATAGCAGTATTCCAATATCTCAGAGGCTGCCATAAAGAAGAGGGAATTAAGCTATTTTCCAAAGCACCTGAAGGCAGGACACGAACAGTGAGAACAATTAATCAGTGGAACAGCTTGCCTCCAGAAGCAGTAAATGCTCCAACACTGGAAGTTTTTAAGAAGAGACAGGACAGCCACTTGTCTGAAATGGTGTAGGGTTTCCTGCCCGAGCAGGGGGTTGGACTAGATGACCTCCAAGGTCCCTTCCAACTTTACTACTATTATTATTATTATTGAAGCCTCCTGCCAGAACAAGGAAAACAGGTCGTGAAGAGGATGTGTAGCGTCCCAGACAATCCTGCAAACCCAAACCAGCAAAATAACGCTGCCTGCAATTCACTATTCTTCAGTATACTTTCTTTTTGCTTCGTATTCATATAAAACCTATTCCTCACGCTTTCTAGGAGAGGAAGTATACATATAGTTAGCTGGAGAACTTAATTTGCAGCCAAAGAGCAGGACTATTCTATTGCATTGAACTTCCATACCTTTTCATTTGATCTACAGTTCCTAAAGCTCTAGTGGCATATACAATTTTCCCAAACCTCATCAATCTTGTGTTGACTCATCTTTCAACCCAATTCCAAATAAATCTATAAAACTCGACTTTGAAAACCGGGCTTTAATTAAAGTTCCCAGCCACAGGAATATACTTCGATTCATTTTCACTCAGGACAGCCAATAGTACATTTCAGACTGGACGACCATTTGTCTGAAATGGTATTGGGTTTCCTGCCTGAGCAGCCGGTTGGACTAGAAGACTTCCAAGGTCCCTTCCAACTATTATTATTATTATTATTATTATTATTATTATTATCCAGAAAAAGAAAGAAGGTAGCAAAACAAAAAAATGCATAGAAACGTGCAACTCATGTCTTACAGCTCTAGTTATTTTACAGGTATGCACTGAGGGCAAGCTGTAGGAAGCTAGCTCATAGCAACCTTTTCTCCAATTATCGAAAAGTAATCTTTCCAAGGTACAGAATGCTGCTGCAATAAGTGGTGATATAAACAAGGGAAATTAATGTCTCAGTGCTGTCTCTCCAGCAAAGTCACACTGATTTTAGCAAGGCTTACAGCAATGTAAATGCCATAATCTGGGGAGGGGGGGGAGGGGAAGCTGCATCTGCCTACTAAAAGATTTCAGGAATGTGGGCTTAACTGCTGCTTAAGATTAAAGTGCCAGTCATAGAAACCTTTGTTCTTAAAGGTTAATACACCCACATGAAATGCTTTATTTTTAGACAAGCACTGAACAAAGCAGCATAGAAAAAGAAAAGCAAGAGCTGTGCACTTTAAAAGCTTTGAGATGGGTTTTCTACAAATACAAGTTCACAAGCTGACATTTGGCTGCCTTCTCTCTCTACTCCTTCTAATGGCTATTTACAGTTCCCTGACTGCCAAGTAAAAGCTCTTTGGAGGAGATCTCACTGTTCAGCCATGTCCAAACCCTCCAGCAGTTAAAGTAATCATTCCATGTGTTGGTTCAAGTCTTCCCCAATCTGAACAGTCTTGAGGAGGTCTCTGGAGACACTAGGTTGGGGCTGAAAGCTTACCCTCCCCCCAATTCACTGAAAAAATTCTAACCTTCTGTCTCTCGGATGTCTAGTACCTTCTTGATCTGAGACAGAGGCATGAGGATGATGTGCTTGAGACAGGCTGGTGGCCTGGTGTGGCCGTGCGGACTCTTGAAGCCACCGATGACTTTGTGCCGTTTCCTCGCAATCTGTCACAAAACCAAAGAAACCTTTTCTGAGAAAGCAGCTCCAGTGTTTACAAAGACCTTTAAGATGACAAGTCTTGCAGCCAACAATGGCTTTCAGAAAGCCTAAGCAATTGCCATGTATGGATTTAGAGTTTCTTCTTAAAATGCCAGGCGACCCCCCTCTTTTATGAGAGCAATTTGGAGATTTTATGTTCTCTTCAACACCGCATGCTGCCTTCCTCTTCTTCTCCTCTGCCTTGTACTCACAAAATGTCCCCAAGCTGCATATGGCCAGGAGTAGAGCACTGTATCAGGGAATGCTAATTAAATTTATCCCTTCCATTTTTAAATCCAGGCTATGCAAGCAGACATAAGTCTGGAGGGTGAGATAATTATCTGAAAGCAGAGTTAGGCAATCTATTGCCATCCAGGCTTGGGAGACTATGGTTCACCTAATCCCTTTCCACTGAGCATACGCCAATGGATGTGCAATCCATATTATCTTGCAACAGGATGCCCAGTGGCCTAGATCTTATGTTAATTCTCTGCAAATATGCCAAATAACAAAACCTGCACTTCTTCAGGCTGCTTGCAATACCACTGTCAGCCATCTTGATAAATCAACTTGACCACCAAATGATTTGCAGTACACATTATAACCGAAAGTTGTACAGCACTAAAATACACACTTCTGGACAAAATGGTTGCAATCTTTAATTCACTAAACTGTTGAATATGTATGCAATATACAGCCCACAAATCAGAGAAGTGATCGTTTCACCTATCACCCATTGCTAGGGTGTATCGGTCAAAACCCATCTTAGCTACTGTGGCAAGCAGCTTCAAGAAACATTCAAACTGGTTCAAAGAATGAGAAAAAGGATGGTCAGAGTGTGAAAATAAAGAGCAGAGAGTAATGTGGGTTCATTAAGCAGTGGTAGGACTAAATATTAATAGTCCCTCAAAATCTAGGATTCTAGTCTAATTAAATGTAATTAAATGCTGCCCATAATATTTATGATTTATTAGATAAGCTACTTTGTGATGGCTTTTGCACTAAAGTGGGATATACAAAGAGCTTAATATCTTTGTATCTCAGATTTGTGTCTTCCAGTTAAGGAGAGGGCACAGAATCATGACTTCAATCTCATCAAGCGTTGTCTGAACCTATTAAACTCTATATACCTTGCGCCTGCTATTATGCTCACAGTGATGACATCCCCATTACAGGTCACTTCTTAGAAATGCCTGGAAATACTAGAGTTACAAATGCTTTACAAGATTACAAAATGGCATAGACAGAATAAGATTTCTGATTCCTAATTTGTTTCTTCCTCCCCTATGAAATTTACTACATGTATCAGTTCACCTCATTTCATATTCATCCACCACAAAGAAACTATTGACATCCAGGTTGTTATATGGCCTGCCCCAAAAGAGCTGCTTGTATTCCTTTATAATTTGTCTTTAGAAGACTGAAAAAGTCCACATTCCTCTCTCAGTAGTCATATCTCACAGCAGCCATTTCATCAAGCTGCAACAAAGAACCGGGGTATTGCATCCCAGTGCTTAGGACTATGCTTCCTGCTTTCTTTTCCCCAAACAGCTTCTCTCAACTCTACAATCTACAACAAAATCTACTCTACAACTCTCAAATCTACAAACTGATATTTGGATTTGCTTTTATCTTATTTCTTTTCCAATGTGTAATTTATATTATAAACTTGAGAGCAAGGACTGTGCCATATGGAAGCTACTCTTAACAGCTCTAGATCTAACAGCTTTGAAGACAAATAAGCATGTTTTAACTAAAGAACTCATACTTCTGCATATTTTTGGTACATGTTGGTAATCTAAATAAAGGTATGTACTGACTGGATTTTTCCATTTCAGCTGGAGACTCTAATTTGCTGTTCATCAAGGTTACTGTTTTTGTTTTTATGATTTTACTTGAGTTAGCTTTCATGGTAGCCTCATGGCAGCCTTTACTGGCATAGAAAAGCAAGACAGATATTTAGAACAAAACAAGAAAAGGTAGGTTTTTTTCTTCCTGAGCATTGAGGTTCTCAGGTAGCTGAGTTTTGCAACCAGTAACTTCACTATACCCAACCCACACACAGTATTATGGTCCTGGCAATTAAAATTCAATGGGCCATCTGCTGAAGTATTTAACATCAAAGATGAAGGACTGGGTTCAGATTCACTCTTGGCTATTTAGGGCAGATTTGCATGGAAGGCTTTACATCCTTAATGATGCAACTTGGACAGACCATAATGAACATGTGTTTTATGGCCTCCCCTGTGCTAGACTCAAGCCTCTGAAACTTGATTAGTTTGTTTTCCCCAAGCTCAGTATTTTTCAACAGTAATTTCTGGTTATAACTGCTTATGTGGACATTTTTGGAGCCCAAGAAGCGGCAAAACAGAATTACCTGACATAAACCTGTTACTGATTCACATTAAACAGAAATAAGTCCCATGAGAATTTACAGGCTGCTGAGACCCTGTCCTGAGAGCCTGAAACAGTGCCAGAACCATAAATACCATCAAGATACTAATGAATTATAGCAGTGTTAACCATGATCCATCAATCCACTAAGAAGAGAAAACCAATCTAGCATGTTCTCTGGCTTGTTGGGCATCAAGCAGATGTTAGGATGAAGAGACAATAGAGAAGGACAACAAAACTTAAAGAGTGTCAAGTCTCCTTTCAGGTTCATAAGTGTATATGTATGTATGTATGTATATATGTATGTATGTATGTATGTGTATATATATATATATATATATATATATATATATATATATATATATATATATATATACACACACACACACACACATACACATATATACATACATATACATATATACATACATACATACATATATATATATATATGCAGGAGGAGAGCCTGTGGCTTGGTGGTTAAATCACTGCCTAGTATGTAAACTGCCCAGGTTCGAATCCCATAAAGGGTGTGGCTAACTGAAGAGAGCAGAATGAGCTCGAAATGGCCATCTTAGTCTCCCAATTTAATTCTTTAATTCTTTGTCAGAAAAAGAAATTTGGATATATATATATATATATGTTTTCTGAGGTTTTCGCGGGTGTATGTATGTAGGTCTTTGGTTATTCGGGTTTTCTCCTACGTAAAATTGGAAGTGTCTTGGCACTTCCAATTTTACGCAGGAGAAAACCTGAATAACCAAAGACCCATACACACACAAACACACACACACACACACACAGTAACTGTGAGCTATTGGGTTGGGATAAGTGTTGGAAAAATCAGGCTGTTAAGGCATTTGTTCAAGAATCAATACAATGGATGCTTTCTTCAATATAACTGGTATACTGACAGAAACTGCAGATCATGCAGAATAAATATCTTCTTGTATGCACAGAGATATGAACACATTCATTTTTATCAATCAAACATTGTGGCATTCAGTCCCACTAGCAAAAGCATATCAGAACAATACAACATTTTTGGAGCCCTCTGAAATTAGGAAGGAAAGCTCACTCACTCAGATGAATTGAGTGTTAAATGCGACAGTATAACAAAGTTACATGTTCAGATGGAAACCAAGCATCTTCCAGAACAGCTGACGCACAGAAAGTATTTCATAGAATAGGGACAGCTGTGGCTGAAGCAGCAAAAGCTGACAAGAGTTACACAAACTAGCAAGATCTGCACATCTGGTACAATTTCTAAGAGACGAACCTAGTACACTGTATAATGTTAATGCAGAATTCAACTTCTAGTGAATCTGTTTGTATCTGAGGGGTAAAGGAGAGCTGTTTTATCTTATGAATAAAGTATCTTTTTTATCTTTTAAATAAGCTGCCACCTTTTATCTTATGAATAAACTGCCACCTAACAAAAGCAAACAACGGAGTCCAGATCAGATTAAATTCTGTAATTATTATAATCTCTAGGTTTAACAAAAGTAAACTTTTTATCATAACTCAACAATTCATGGGTTGAGTACACCCATTGTGGTTTATTTGGTTTTGTCTTACCATAATGTGCAACTCCCCCATTATAGTTCCTTCCATAAACTACATGTAAACAAGCCACAGTTTAGCTCAGTGTGATCTATGTAGTAGCAGGTTGATTTGGACTTCCCGTGTGATATGAACCTAAGCTTCTGATTTGTCAATACTTAGTGTTGGTTTTGAGACCTTGTCCATTGGGATCTTAGGCAAACCTGTTAAGTAAATCATAACTATACCATGTTACAAAACAGGTTAGTGAAAACATGTTTTTCATTTAGCCAGAAAGAATTACCGAAAGGGTCTCTTAATTACTCTAATGACAATGCTTCTCTTTTCTTTCTGACCACAGCTTTCATTGCTTGTGGCAAGTCGCAGCAGCAGCAAATTTTCCTGGCTTTCCCAGAATTGACTTACAAAGCATTAAGAATGCAGAGAGAAAGTACTCTCTTGTGACAATTTTTCCAGCAGTCCTTACCAGCTGAGTGACTGCTACACATAGCACAATGCCTTCCACTGAGGACAAAAAGAAACGGCATTCAAGTTGCCCTTCACAGATTCCAGGTATTTGGATGTTATTTATTCCTCCGAGTTGCAAGTCATTCCAGGATGTCACAGCCAAATGAGTCACTGCAGACTTACCTCCAGGCAGTCATTAAAAAGGAACAGGGTGACCTGCTCCCCTCTGTCACAGAGGTCGTCCCCAAGTGCAACCGTTTCCAGGCGCTGAATTAGACAGCGGTGAGACGACAAAAGGTTAGCCTATTGGGCATAGGAGAAGCTCATTAAAAATAAAAGTTGGGAGGTTGCTGCATCACCAAGAAATAATGATAAAAGTAGAGAATGCTCTCTTATCTCAGGACACACAAATTGTTATTGCAGCACAGCATACCTAATAAAGGTTCTTACACATGGAATAAGTGCCCTTCTTGGGAAAGGAATGTTGGATTTCTCAGGATTTGGACTCCAGGGGAGGGGCTGGAAAATGCTTATGGGGGCTTCCCTCTTTCCTCCCTAAAGCAGAGGTCTTCAAACTTGGCCCTTTTATGACTTGTGGGCTTCAACTCCCAGAATTCCTCAGCCAGCATGCCTGGCTGAGGAATTCTGGGAGTTGAAGTCCACAAGTCATAAAAGGGCCAGGTTTGAAGACCCCTGCCCTAAAGGGAGAGAACAGGAAGAGTTGGAGTGGGGAGATTTAATAGAGCTAGTGGGTCCGACATGTCCAGAGATTACAGACAATGGTGGAAAAAGCAGGCTTTAATGGTTACCTGGGTCACACTGAGGAGCAATGAGTAGAATAAGATTCCTACAGGCTCACTGGATAATTTTGCTGATTGGCAGATAAAGTTAGTCATGTTTGTCCTAGGCTAACATTTTTACAACAGAAACTAACATAGTGAGCAAGAATAGATCTTATATTATCTAGGATTCTTTTGACCTTACTGAGCCTAAGTTCTTTGCAGTATAAATTTGGATCCAAGCCCTTCCTGACTCCTTTGGGCATCCAAGTGAAATGAGTTGTTGGCAATCAGAGAAATGTTAATACTTGTTTGAAGAAGGATTGATGCCACCTTCCTTAAAGGAAATTGAAGAAGCTTTCCTGGATCCAGCAGTTTTAATGGAAGGTTCTGAAGAAAGTGGTGGCCATTCAGCCCAAGAGAATCCTACAGGAAATCTTTCAATCAGGATTCATACCCAGTTAGGGGATTGGGTTGGCATTGGCCATTACGTGATCAAAAAGGCAGCATAACCCTACTGTACTAATTGTACAGTCTTTGATATCGCTGACTACCATATCTTCCTCAATTGTGAAAGTTGGAAACACTATTCTGCAGTGATTCTGCTCCTATCTAAATAGACAATTTTGGCATGTCACTATGAAGTAACAGATGTCAAGGCCTTGGTTACCCAAGGGCTTGGTGCTCTCCCCTATGCTAATCAACATCTATATAAAGCCACTAAGGTATATCAGTAGAAAATGAATTGACTTCAGAAAACTGATGAAACTCAGTTGTATATTACTGCCCAGGCCATACTGAAGATTTATCTATTGTATCCTGCTGTAATCAATCTGATTCTTAAAGGTGCCACAGAAAACTTGAATCAGCGTCTGGTGGCTGTTTTATTGTCTGAATGGGAAAATAAGCTTAGATTTAACCCCTCAAAGACTTAGTTACTGTACCTCAGTCAACATATAGGAACATTGGTCCCAGTTGCCATTCTAGATGGGGTTGGGCTCTCTTTGCAGGACCTCAGAGTATGACTTGGGTCTCCTTCTAAACTCATACCCACTACTTAAACAACAGATGAACACCATGGGTAGTCTTTGCCCAGCTTTGGATGTTGCCTAGTTATAAGCCTACTTGGACCTGGACATTTTGGTGTTAATTATTCACATCTTGATCACCAGTCAGCTAAATTATTATACTCTACTTGGGGAAGACTTTGAAGATAGATCAAAATCTCCATCTTGTCTAGAATGTGACAATAGGGTTACTGGTGACTCAGACCTGTTCTTGCAGGATAAAAACTGTCCTAAATTTGCTGCATTGGCTACTAATAGACCTTTGGCTCAATTCAAAAGACTAGTAATGACCTACAAAGCTTTCAATAGAAAAGGACTGAGTTTCACCAAGTGCCATCTTGATATCCAGTGAAGACCTCTCAAAGATGCCTGTTACCAGACTTTGGGGGAAATGGATTACAGACCTAGGCTAATTTCCAAGGTTTAAAGCGCTCTACTCCCAGAGGTTTTGAAAGGCTCCCAATTGACATTTAGATTGAGAGCTATACGTAGTTCTCAAGTTACAACAGCAATTGGGACCAAGATTGCCATCACTAAGCAATGTAGTTATGAAGCATGACATCACATGACTGCATTGCTTAACAATGGCAATCCAAGTAGTCCCAGTTGCTTTCATAACCCAAGAAGTGCAGGTTATTAAGTGGGAAGTGGCAGGAGTTCCAAGTGAAGAGTGCAGAGATGTCTCTGGACCATGCTGAACCTCCTCCTGTCAATGCCATTTGGACATACTGTAGCTCAGTCGTTTTTGAAAGTGTATCCTCACAAGCAGTAGCATTTGAGTCCTAGTCATAGTACTTCAAGCAAAATGAGTCTGCTTTGGGGAGGAATAGAATATTTGCTAATGTTTCCACATATGGAATTTTATACATCCACAGCACTATGTAATGGCAATGTGGAAGATCATTGTTATTTTGAGGAGTTTAATGACATAACTTTGATTTCCTCTTCATATTAAGAAAGATCTAAGCTAACCTGCTTGTTTTTTCACTTTTGCTTGATAAATAAATAAAAGAGGGGAGGGGGGTGGAATCTTCACATAGCAGCAAACCTGTAAAAATCTCAAACTTTCTATTCATCCCAGAGGCAAGTGCCACTCAATCAAAGTTAGGTCTTGCAGATTCCTGATCAGGCGATCTGCAGGGCCATGAAATCATGGTGCCAGGTTTTGATAAAAAAAACTTAAGACTGTGGTTGTTTGTTGGGAGCTTCTATATAGAACACAGCATTGGGTATATGGAACCTGGCTGCCCTAAGAGTACCTCTGCTGTCGTTATTAAGATGCTCCTGGTAGCTTGTAAGAGATTTGGGTATTATCTTGCTTGGATTGTTATGCTTTTCAGCCTGTTGCCTGGGATTAATATTAAAGCTTAATATCCCTTATTGTCTTTGGATCCAAAAGAACCAATTGCCTGGGTACCTGATCCCTCCCAATGCTTGGCAAGACCTACTGAGAATAGAAAGGCATGTCCCACAAAAACTCTAGCAACCATTGTGGGTGTCCACCACTTCTCAAATTCTCAAAATTCCAAATTTGGACTCATGCACCTCTTTTACTCTCCATTTTGCTCAAATTCACCATTGCATTTTTAAAAATATAACGGAGCACTACACTACTACTTACTGGGCAACCATCTACTTCATAAACAACATCAAAAATCTGTCTTTGACCTTCAGTCTTCCTTTTGTCTTCATTAATATGTCTAGAAGGGAAAAAAAGTTTGGGAAAACACTGATGAAAAATGTGGGACAAATATAAACTTGAGAAAATCTTTAAGCTGATGATGGAAAAAGATTAAGTTTCCTGGCCTGCTCTCCCTTTTCTGTTTTTTGTTTTGTTTTGTTTTTTTATTATAAATTTTTAGAATTTTACAATAAAAACCCCTTCCCCAATCCCTCCCAACCCACCCCAAAACCCTCCCCCATTCTTCCCAGAGCTGAATACAGGGTTAACTAGAACTTAAAAGAAAAAAAACTTTTAAACCCAGAAAAACCTTAAACAAATATAATTACATTCAATAAACTAATTATTAAATACTTTAACTCCATTATATACAAAAAACAGAAAGAGAAAAAAAAGAAAATAAAAGAAAGTAAAAAAAATAAAAAATAATAATTAGAAAAAAAAACCACAAAAATCTTAAACTTTAAATATATCTCCCTTTTCTGTTTTAAAATATGAGATTCAGTAAGTCTTCCATGGAACAGATCATTCAGCATTGATTTCAGTGATTTCACTCACTGTTTATTCTTCAGCTTTCATTCCTTCAAGTTATACAGAAAACATACCTTAGCATCTTAAGAAACTTGAAAACTAACTGAAAGCCTTTTATGAAATAAGGTATGCCTCATTACACTACTGAAGGGTAGAGGTTAGAAACTGTGAGTTTCCAGGAAAACCTAAGGTCCTTATCTTCAACCTGACTCTAAGGTTTACATGGACTGAACTGCAGTTAGCAGCTATTCACAAATATCAAGATGATAACCACCTACAGCTTCTAAAATATAAGGAGTTTCAGTGCACAGAACTTGCTGATGCATTCCATATAGTTTATCAGGCAATCAACTCAATGCATATTACTTCCAAGATAATTTAGAAGGCTATGGGCAAAATAGAAACCGAACAATTTTAGGTTTGAAGCCATCAAGTATTGGAAGTCCTATAAAACCATTTCAGGTTGGCTATAGTTAAGCAAAAACAAAATCCAGAACACACTGGTTCTTCTCTCTTTCAGTCAACACAAAATCTGATAGGATCTTGGGGATATTTTTCAAGGTGAATAGGAAAGGCCATGTCCCTCAAACCCCCATTTAGCCTCTGTGCAGGTTCATTCACCTCCAATCTTCTAAGACAGGGATCCCCAACCCGTGTGCCGCGACCCAGTACTAGGCCATGGCCCGCTTGGAACCAGGCCATGGAAGCGGTGGGCGAGCACGTGCACCTCCACTTGCGCGAGCAGCGCACAAGCATGCGTGTGCAGCTCCATTTGTGCGAGCGGCAGGCAAGCACACATGTGCAGCTCCATTTGTGCAAGCAGCAGGCAAGCAGGCGCATGCAGCTCCATTTCTGCGAGCGGTAGACAAGCGTGTGCATGCAACTACATTTGTGTTAACAGCAGGCACACAGGCCTGCTGCTTCTGCAAATGGAGATGCACACGCATGACGGCTACTCGCACAGAATCATCCCTTTTCCTCCCCCCCCCCCTCAGCGGTCCACAAAGCCAGAAAGTTTGGGGAACACTATTCTAAGAGCTCTCCCAACCACCCTCTCTCTTTTCCACTCACCCACTAATGTAATAGCCAGTGCACCCATTCCTTCCTGCAATGGTCCAAGCTCAGCATATCCCATCAGCTTGCTCATCTTCTCTCTCCTCTTTCCCATGGCTGCCAATGTCTGCACATACCATCACCAAGGAAATGTCCCAGTCTTGTTTTTTTTCCCCTATGACCCCCTCCCCGGCTTGACTTTTCTGCCTTCTGTTCTCCAGTTTTCATATTCAAAAGAAAATAACGCCAACATTTTGATGCAGGAACCAACCACTCAAAACCCCAAGTTCCACACACAGAAGAGTTTGGACACAAAATGTTTCGAACATTCCTAAACGCGTGTTATATTAATTTTGAGACCAGCATCAACTAGAGTCATCGGACTTACGTCATCACTTCCTTTAATGACTCAATGGCGCTCTCTAGGGTGGCCTTGTCAGGATTGTCCTCTGCGGTGTGTTTCCTGAGGTCTGCAATAAGGAAAGATTGAAACAGAGCAACTGTGCATAAAAACATCCCACATGATGCCCTAAAAGTGGACATTTCTGAGAGTCTGTCACCACAGAAATCTAGGGTACTTAAATTCAAGAAATTACCAATTGAAATTAGAGGGCTGATGAAGCAGAAATCTTGCAACCTTAGCTGTTCAACTATTGACTTTTAAAGCATACGCTTATTTTCCTAAATGGAGAAAAACTGAAATATTTATCAAATGCAATTTGATCTCACTCCTGCTGGGAGGGGAGGCATCTTGAGCATGGTATTACAGCAAAAACTATATCAAACCTATGTTTACTACAAAACTCATGAAGTCAAATTCAGTAAGGTAATAATAATAATAAATAATAATAATAATAATGTTGGAAGGACCTTGGAGGTTATCGAGTCCAAACCCTATACCATTTCGGACAAATGGCTGTCCAGTCTCTTCTTAAAAACTTCCAGTATTGGAGTATTCACCGCTTCTGGAGGCAGGTTGTTCCATTGGTTAATTGTTCTAACTGTCAGGAAGTTTCTTCTTAGTTCTAGGTTCCTTCTCTCCTTGATCAGTTTCCATTCATTGATTCTTGTCCTGCCTTCAGGTGCCTTGGAGAATAGCTTGACTCCCTCTTCTTTGTGGCAGCCCCTGAGATATTGGAATACTGCTATCATGTCCTCCCTCGTCCTTCTCTTCGTTAAACTAGACATACCCAATTCCAGCAACCGTTCCTTATATGCTTTAGCCTCCAGTCCCCTAATAATCTTTGTTACTCTTCTCTGTACTCTTTCTAGAGCAGGGCTTGTCAACTGGTGGTATGGGTACCATTTGTGGTACGCGACCACTTGACTGGTGGTACGTGGTGTCGCCTTCATCCCCCCCACGGCGTCACCTTCCTCCCTCCTGCTCCACTCCTTCCCACCTCACTTGTTTGTGGAAAATATGCTGCTTGGCGGCAGCCTGCACGAACTTTACTGAATGTGCCCTGAAGGAGGCGCGTGAAGAGTGCAGGCGCAGAGCAAGGCCCCGCCCTCCTCAGGGACTCATTGTGCAGCAACTGGTTTGACTTCTCGTGAACTCAGATCAGTGAAGGGGAGGCCGCTGCAGCGCCAAACTCCTGCGCCTGTCAGCTGGCAACTCCCGAACTTGCGCTTGTCAGCTGGAACGACCGGCAACACTTTGGCCAGTGCGGAGGGCAAAGGGGAGGCCATCGCAGCGCCGAACTCCTGCGCTTGTCAGCTAAGAGGTCTGGCGACGGAGCTGGCTGGTGTGGAGGGCGATGGGGAGGCAGCGGCCCCCGGTCTCCTTTGCCGCCCCGCACATCATCCTTGACCCCTCCCCCAGCCTGTTCATGTCGAGCCCACCTGGGCTTGACAGGGAGAGAGGGAGGGAAGGAGGAAAGGACTCCTCCTCCTCTCCTAAGGTTCAAAGCATGATCAGCTTCCCAAGGGCGCCACAATCCCAATTCATGTGTTTCTGCCATACCTCCTCGGCGCTCCCAGGAAAGGGGCGGGCGGAAGAAAGCTTGGCTAGGCTAGGCAAAGAAAAGCCACGGAGCCATGAGATCAGATCGCAGGCAGGCCGGGGAAGGGGGTGAAGAAGAGGAAGGGGATTGGGAAAGACGAACCGCCAAGCTTGTCCTCGCCTCTCCCAAGAATCTCCTGCACCACCTCATAGCAACACCTGGTTTCAGATTTATGCCGTAAAAGTTTTTCTCGCGCAGAGAGAAAAAACAATTGCAGAACACTCAGGAATCCCTTGCAAGGCACCATGTACCTTGGTGCTTATTCCCTAACACCTTCCCCCCATGTTTTTTGCTCCACCCCGAATTCGTCTCCCTTCCACTCTCCTTAATCAGACCTAAGTCTGTCTCGCTTTCAACACCCCCTAAAATTCTTCATTCAGGCAGGCTTCCAGAATTCGGCTGGCAGGACGCAGGTAACCCCTCCCCCCTGTCCTGCCGCCTCCCACGGCACCGTGCCACTCCGCGTCCCGTGCCTCCGTGTCTCAAGCCTCCGTGGCACAGAACTGCTGGTGTTATGCTTGGGCGGAAGACTTTTTCTTTTACAGATGGGGTAGGTTGACCCGACATTCGCGGGCAGGCAGAATCCTGCCCGCTGAGCCGCCGCCTCCCCATTGCCCTCCATGCCAGCTGGCTCCGTTGCCAGATTTCTCAGCTGACAAGCGCAAGAGTTCGGCGCTGCGACAGCCTCCCCTTCGCCCTCCGCACCAGCCAAAGTGTTGCTGGCCGTTCCAGCTGACGGGCGCAGGTCGCCAGCTGACGGGCACAGGAGATAGGCGCCGCGACGGCCTCCCAGCCACCTGCTTCCTTGGCTGGAGCAGTTGCAAGGGGTTGCATGGTCGCCAGCGGCGGGGAGCGCGTCAGCAGCCCTCGGGGACCATGCAAGCCCTGTGAACTGCTCCAGCCGAAGAAGCAGATGCCTGGGAGGCTGCTGCGGTGCCTACTCCTGCACCCGTCAGCTGGCGACCCCCAGACCTGCGCCCGTCAGCTGGAATGGCCGGCAACGCTTTGGCCGGTGCGGAGGGCGAAGGGGAGGCTGCCGCAGCGCCAAACTCCTGTGCCCGTTAGCTGGCGACCCCCAGACCTGCGCCCGTCAGCTGGAACAACCGGCAACGCTTTGGCCAGTGCAGAGGGCAAAGGGGAAGCCGTTGCAGCGCCGAACTCCTGCACTTGTCAGCTGAGAGGTCTGGTGACGGAGGTCAAGAGAGCTAATTTCAATAAACTTAACAGAGGGTTTGGGAAGGATTCCATGGATGAGAATCCTCCAGGGGAAAACAACTGAAGAAGCTTGGGAAATTTTGAAAAGCAAGATAATAGAAGCCCAGTCTAGCTCAATACCAACAAAGACGAAAAATAACAGCTCTCAAAATAAACCAGCATGGCTGCATAAAGAACTCTCTGATAAATTGAAAGATAAAAAGGACAAGTATAGAAAGTGGAAAGAGGGGAACATAACTAAATCAGAATATCAACAAATAGCCCGAGCCTGCAAAGATGAAGTGAGGAAAGCTAAGGCTCATAATGAACAAAGGCTTGCAACCAAAGTCAAAAATAACAAAAAAAAAAAAAAAAGCTTCTTTCAACATATAAAAAACAAGAAAAAAGTGAAGGAAATGATTGGTCCATTAGAAAGGGGCAAGAAGGTGACAAGCAACAGGGAGAAAGCAGAACTATTTAACTCGTTTTTTGCATCTGACTTTACACAAAGGGAAAAAACAGACCAACCTATCAAAAATAGTGCCATAAAAAACAGAATAGAAACACAAGTTAAGATAGGCAAGAAAATGGTAAGTGAGCACCTGTCCAGCCTAGACGAGTTCAAATCACCAGGACCAGATGGATTACACCCAAGGTTCTCAAGGAAATGGCAGATGTGATCTCAGAACCACTGAACTATATTTTTCAAAGATCTTGGAGCACTGGGGAACTACCAGAGGACTGGAAAAGAGCTGATGTAGTTCCCATCTTCAAAAAAGGAAAAAAAATGGATCCAGGAAATTACAGACCTATCAGCCTGACCTCAATACTTGGGAAGATTCTGGAAAAAATAATCAAACAACGAATCAGCAAACACCTAGAGGTAAACAAAATCACTATTAAAAGCCAACATGGGTTTGTCAAAAAACAGATCATGCCAGACAAACCTTATTGCATTCTTTGACCAAGTGACAAAATTAGTGGATCAGAGGAATGCTGTGGATATAATTTACTTGGACTTCAATAATGCATTTGATAAAGTAGATCACAACCTACTACTCGATAAGATAGAAAAATGTGGGTTAGACAGCATCGCCACCGGATGGATTCGTAGCTGATCGGCTGTACTCAGCTTGTGGTCCTCAATGGAACTGCATCTACATGGAGGGAAGTGTGTAGTGGGATGCCCCAGGGCTCTGTTCTAGGCCCAGTGCTCTTCAACATCTTCATCAATGATTTGGACGAGGGGATAGATGGGGAACTCATCAAATTTGCGGATGACACCAAGCTGGCAGGAATAGCCAACACTCCAGAAGGCAGGCTTAAGATACAGAAGGACTGGACAGACTTGAACACTGGGCGCTATCTAACAAAATGAAATTCAATGATGAAAAAAATAAGGTTCTACATTTAGGCAAGAAAAACCAAATGTACAGGTATAGTATAGGGGGTACCTTACTCAATAATAGTAATTGTGAGAGGGATCTCGACATAGGATTATTATAAGAAAAATTAGGATTTCGGGAGTTATTAGTCACATGGAATATGGAAAAAAACAAAGTGAGGACCACAACGTAACATAACAGTGAGGATGAGCGTACAGGTTAAAAGTCCAGGAGACTTGAGGGGAAGAGAAGACAGAGACAAAGCAGGACATTCACAGCATGATTTTCCACTGAGCAATAGACCAGCACTTTCTAGAATAAAAAAAAATCCTGTTTTTTAAATGTACTTCTGAAAGTTTAAATCAGTGGTTCTCAACCTTTCTAATGCCGTGACCCCATAATACAGTTCCCATGTTGTGGTGACCCCCAAATGGGTGTGGCCACCAATAAGAGGGAGTAGGACAGCTAGGGAAAAGGGAAAAAAATGGCCGACAGTGTGGTTTGGCGACCCCCGTGAAATGGTCGTTCGACCCCAAATGGGGTCCCGACCCACAGGTTGAGAACCACTGGTTTAAATGAACTGATTTTTACCATCATTTCTCTCTTGCAGTTATATATTCTTCCATGGGCTTTTAAAGTCAGTTTTAATGAGCAATTATGAGATTTCACATTAAGCACATTCTTTTTATAACTAAGCCAGCCCTGTACTACTTTAAAGTACCGTATATGCCGCCGTATTAGGCGACCCGGCGTATAAGACGACCCCCGTCTTTATAGCCGGGTCGCATTCCTAGAACGTCGTCTTATTCGCCGGAAACTACCAGTATTTCCGGCGTATAAGACGACTCGGCGTATAAGACGACCCCCGTCTTTGGCGCCGATTTCAGCGCTCGCGGAAGTCGTCTTATACGCCGGCATTTACGGTATATAATCTGATGCAATTTAGGCCTAAGTGGTTATACCTGGCTTAAGCTAGTAATGAATTGAAATAGCTTCTGTGTTTCTTGATAATGGAGAACTTCAGGGCCCGCATATTAAAAGAGCATCTGAAGTGGCTATTATGTTATATGCCGTTATCCATCTTAATTAGAGTATAGTTCATAGACTTTACCATTCAATTAATGCTGAAAATTAAAATTAAAGCAGATTATTTGCAAACACAATATATTTCATATGCCTGTCATATATAAAAGATATTTTCTAGTTCATTTTTTTTAAGGGAGTTCACAGACCTAGTTGGTCTTATTCAGTGAAAAGAGCTAAAATTACACCCCAAGCATTCATTCATTGCATTTATATGGCTGCCCATTCACTCTCAGTGACTCTAAGCGGCTTACAAACAATAAAAAAATCTCAATATAAAAGGAATAAAAACAATAACTCCCCACCCCTCTGGCGATAACAAGTAATCACCAGCTGCTTGATGGGCTCCATCCCACTCTGGGTTCCTCAGGCCTGTTGGCAAAACCAGGTCTTCGGAGCCTTGCGAAGTGTGGGGATGATGTTACAAAGGGAGAGAGCTACCCTAGAGAAGGCCCTTCTTCTGGGTCCTGCCAGATGTACCTTCTTAGGAGATGGGACCCATAACATTCCCTGTCTTCCCGCTCTAGTGGGTTGGGTGGATGTAATTGGGAAGAGATGGTCCTTCAGATAACCAGATTTGATTTCATCTACAAATGCTAACTAATTACTTCAATCACTGGTCAAGCCAGCTTCTGAACATACCATTTAGAAGAAGGGCAACACTGGGTAGTCTCTGTACTGGCCGGATAAGGAGTTCTGCCAAACTCTGGCGACCACATTCTGGCTTAGCTTCGTTTATCTATTGCAAAAGAAGTTGTAGCATTATTTCTAGAAAGTAACCAGTTTTTCTTTTTTTCTTTTCTTAAAAAAAAAAAAACAATCTCTGCAATGTCAGTGGCTCCCACGCTTATACGACACTGAGTTTTACAAAATGTAAGTTTGACTTGTTACATAGGTTGTTAATTGCTTATCTGGGAACCTGGCTGGAAGATATTTACTAAATTATTATGTAAAAACGATTAAATCAGTAGTTTGAAAGCTACGTCTTTCTTCACTGCTAATTCCCCGTTAATTATTTGAGTAGTAGGGGCTCTGTTTTATTACTTTGAGTAGGCTGTTACACTGTATTCAAAAGAGAAAAATGGAATGCCTAAATAGCTCTCATCTCTCCAATGTTGGCAAGAACAAACAAAGCAAGCAGAGACATTTTTTAAAACTGAGCGAGAGGTCCCGATCAATAAGAGGCCATTTTGAGTCTATACCAGTTCTATGCAAACAAGATGGGCAAAAGAGTGGCTATAATCTGGCATGGAGCCAAATACTATAACAAAGTTGTTCTGGATATAAAAGATTGAGAAAATGAGGTGGGGGGTTTCAGCTTAATAGCTGTTTTTAACCCTTGCGCTGGTTTCTGATGTACACATAGGAAGAGGTTAGCTTTGCAGGACTTATTCTGCTGGGCCTATTAAATTGAGTCATGTGAAAATCAAAGGAAAAAGGAAAAATAAAGTAAAATGAAGACTCAGAGTGGAGCTAATTGTGTGCTGATGACCAAGATCGCCTGAGGATAGCTTGTGTTTACAAGTAGCAATTACATTAAGACTGTAAGCTCTTGACAGAGAAAAATGTTGTTCTTTCTACAAGCGCAAACAAGAAAATTTTGCCAGTCTAGCTTATGCCCCTTTAAAACATCTTAGGATCAGGTGCTATTTATATTTTACACAAAAGTAAAGTGCATAGTGTTATTCCACCAACCTATTCTGAATTTCAAAGTTGCACCTTTCCCTATTAGAGCAGCCAAGACGGCATTCTAGCATATTTGTGCTTCCATGGTGCTCAAGTCTTAATTGCTTATTTCAGTTTCAAAACTGCACCTTTCAGGAGACAGAGTGCTGCATTAGAACCAGCAAATGAATACTTGCCTTTAAGAAAGCATGAAACCTGGGCTTCTGCTTTTCACACTTGGTAATGGTTTCCTTGCTCATTTCAAAGAAGTTCACAAAAGGAGGATATGTTTTCACCAAGTCTTTAGACTGAAAGAATCCCAAATTTTTATTTACAACATGCATGTGATTGAAAAATTAAATAATATCAGTGCTTCACAGCAAGCAATTTGAAGTCAGTGTGTTTGCTGAAGTAGCTCTGTGCCGTAGCTGACCTCTGCTGGTGTTAGTTCATTAAACCTGCTACTGTAACAAACATCTATACATATTTGCAAAGCAAATGCATAAATGCTTACACTTGCCCAAGTAGACATAAAAACACAGGGCAGTATATGCACATTGCTCTGCCAATAATCCTTCTAAAACTATTCTGTAGCCCACCTTTATGTAACCTCCCAGATCCTTGCAGGTTAATAAACTTTAATTTTCTTTATTTCACACTACAAGCAAGACCTTGCCTAAGGGTCATTAGCATAGAGTTGCAATCATGTTTCTGTAGAAAGTGATTTAACTCTATTGAACACAAGTTCATGATTCAGTAAACTTAAAAGCATGAATAGGTGTCCCTCGTCCAAATGTCGCCTAATAATACAAAGAGCAGAGCTAAACTGCATTCCCCCAATGCCTTAAAAAAAAAGGCTCCCTCATAAGACCAAGAGGTAGACCAGAAGAGTCCACTTTATATATAAAATAACAGCATTAATTCATAGTTAGTGCAAAAACCAAAACTTACATATTTAAGTATAACATCCCCAATGCTTTGGTCTTCAGTCCAGTTTATCATAAGGTCTTCGAGGTCTTCCTAAAATAACAAAAAGATGGCACTCTATTCATCTGCAATTATTCGTAATTCTAAAAAAGCAAGCTACATTAATGTTTGAACTTCTAAATGAATTTTGGAAGCAGGAAAGGAGAGTAAGGGGAAAGTAAGAAAAACTTTATTTTTAATATTTAATCAAGTGAATATCAAGGAGCTCCGTCAGTATGGATGCCATGAAACAACAGCATTACCAATACTGCAATAATGCTCGAAAACAAAATTTAAGATTTAGAATCATCAGCTATTGGTGCTCAAGCAAACTGTCAAAGTATTAGAAAGTTATTTATACAAGATTTTGGGGTTATATGTTGGAGTGGTTTCAGCTGTTGGAGGAGGGCTAGAGAATCTCAGGTTCAAATAGGAGATGGGTGATCTTGGGGTGATCTTGGGGACCAGTCACAATCTCTCAACCTAGTCCACTTTACAGAACTGCTGGTGCCGGAAGAAAGGAAGGAGATGAATTTAACAAAGTATGATGACACCAGAGCCACTTCCAATTCTGCTCCTTTCTTTCTTATTTACTAATGAGGTCATAAAGGAATATTAAGGTTTTTTCCAGGGCAGCACAAGCAAGGTGTTTGAGCAAAATAATATTCACAATATAGACTGTTTTAAAATGGTACCACCTTTATCTTAATATGTACATCAAGGATATCTGGAATGCTGCCGAATATTGTTTTGATTTCTTCTGGTGCAAGAATAGGGCCTCCGAGCTGTCCTTCCTTTTCCAAAGGGACTTGAAAGACCTGAAGAAAAAAAAGTAGGTCAGCAATGTTATGAAAGCTGTCCGGCCAGTCCACACGCTCAGCTCTGGATGGAGCTGATAGCTCGGACTCTACCCAGAATTAAAAGATTATAGAGTGGTAAAAAAAAAAAAGGGAATATTAGAAAATTATACGTGGACTATGGTAGAATGACTGTATTTACATACATGCACTGGTGTTTTGTGTATTTTGGTCGGTTAGACAAACTTGATAAATTAACTTTCCCATCCCTTTTGTTCCCGTGAATCTCTCTCTGAAGATATTGTCTTCTAAATCATATGCTGGGCTTGTCCTTTAAAGCAGAGGTGTAGTTTCATCTCCTTTTAAAAATAAACCTCCAGAAAAAGCTGAGACATTCAATCCCCAATATGGGATTTAAGATTTTTGTACATGAAAGAGACAAGCCCAACAGAGGGGCACCTCAGGCTAAAACATTCATGAAGCTGGACTGGTGTTTCTCAACCTCAGCATCTTTAAGAAAGGTGGACTTCAACTCCCACAATTCCCCAGCCAGCTTTGCTTCGAAGTCCACCCATCTCAAAGTTGCTGAGGTTGAGAAACAGATAGACCCCATAAATCAACTTCAATTCAGACATGCTGCATGGTGGGTAGATGCCAAAGATGGCTTAACATAAGCAAGATACTCAGAAAGCATTACCAAATTAAAAATATAAATGAATAAATGATCATATCTGCCCCTTAAACAGAAACCAAAAGTACTTTGACGGTGAAGCAGCTCTACTTTAGCAACTGCTTCAGTTAACACAGTGGTTCTCAACCTGTGGGTCGGGACCCCATTTGGGGTCGAACGACCATTTCACGGGGGTCGCCAAACAATGCAGTCCGCCATTTTTTTCCCTCTTTTCCTTAGCTGTGCTACTCCCTTTTATTCTATTAGCTTTTGAAAGCCAATAGAATAGACTCTCTTGAATAGAGTCTAATTCTATTGGCTTTCAAAAGCCAATAGGAATTGTCCAGGCTGTCTCTGCCCAGCTGAGCCCACCAAAAGTCCCATTCTGCAAACGGTGCTGCACCAGTTGAGTAGTCCTCGACTTACGACCGGTTGGGGGTCGCAGCATTAAAAAGGTTGAGAACCACTGAGTTAACATGTATGGAAGGGTATGAGTGAGAGTTCTCTCTTCTTCCTGAAAACCTATCATGCTCCCCCCCCCAATTCATTCCAGGGACTTAGAAGCTCCTCCAGAACAGCACAGAGTGGACTTGAGGTCCGAGAAGGAAGCGAGGACTCTTGGAATATGCACAAGGAATCACCTCTATCTGGCTGCTGCAGAATCAGTCTTAACACAAGCCACTTAAAAGCATCAATTTAAGAAATGATGCAGTAAATGAAGCAACTTACCTGGATTATAGTTGTCAGGATATCTACATAGTTGCTTTCTGTCTGATACAGCTCCTTTGCAACCTGCCACCTGGCGGATTGCTTTGAAGGAAAGGGAGTTGTGTTTTTGGATGGCTTGGCACAAGATTTAGGCGTTTCTGCAAAGGACGGAGAAATACTATGACACTTTTCTTTTTTAAAAAGCAGGAAACTTATTACAGAAGCTAGGCAACATTCTTAAAATAGAAAGGCCAATTTAACATGAACTTGGGCTGAGTACAGTACAAGTTTTAATGACTGCCCAAAACACCAAAAACTGAAGACAGAGGTCATCTTCAATATCATCAGGTGATGTTGTGGTTATGTCGACTACTTTCTCTCTGTGAAATAACTGCTAACTATTATATCAGCACCATCGTGGAAAACAACTAGAGCGCTCTGAACTTGTACAATTTGCTGTAGGATTAATTGCTAGGAATTTTAGATATGCTATGAATTCCAAATAACAGCTTACCTACTAGTAACCCAAACATGAAACTGACATTTGAATTTGATTCAGATTATTAGTCAGATCCAATTACCTAACCGTGATTACCATCAACAGGCATAAAAAAAAATATTGCTGAACTTATAGCCTTTTTGCTGATTGTTCTAACTTCTTGCATTTCATGAGAATCACTGAATCTTAGGGCTTGAAGGGACCTCAGAAGTCTTCTAGTCCAACCCTGCTCAAAGCAGATCTTATATCAGTGGTGGCAAACCTATGGTATGGGTGCCAGAGGTGGCACTCAGAGCCCTCTCTGTTGGCACATGTGCCATTACCCCAGCCTTGCCTCTTTCTGCAACCCCACCAGCAGCCCCCCTGGAGGAGTCGCCCCTGAGCATGGACCATGCGGAGCAGTGCAGCCAAGGACATGGCAGCCAAGCAGCGTAGATAAGACTCTGCCTCACGCCCCATTGCGCAGTTGATGCTGTGGGGCGTGGGCAGAGGGCGTAGCCACCATGGCGCTGCTGGGCTGCCTGGGCAATCTACGGCGGGCCCTGGAGGCAATGAGTGGCCCTGTGGGGGAGGCGGGGTGGGGACCGGACAGAGGGTGGAGCAGGGGGTGGAGCCAGTTTTTCAGCACTCAGTCTCTAAAAGATTTGCCATCCCGGTCAAATGCTTGTCCCATCTATTTTTGAAAACCTCCCATGATGGAACCCTCACAACCTTAGGAGACAAGCTACTGCATTGTCAGAAAATTTCTTCTTGCTTGTTGGATCTCTTTTTAATAAATTTCACCCGCTACTTCTTTTCCTGCCCTCTGGTGCTTCAGAAAAGAATACCCACTTCTGTGTGACAGCCTCCACAACTACTGGCAAACAGGTCCCTCCTAATCCTTCCCTTCAATAGGCTAGACATACCTAGTCCCCTCAACCTTCACAAAATTTAGCCTCCAAACCCTTTATCATCGAATGCTTGCGCTCCTTGGAAATGCTTAATTTATATATAAAACATCTCCAGGGAGAAAGCTGATTTGCAAGTGGATTCTCCAAACTGATCCAATGGTCATTCTGAAATTGTCCCTGTGGTGCACTTAAGTTCTGCATTCAAAGCAAACAATCCTTTCTACCTAAAAACACTGTCAGTCAACCCACCATCACCTTGTGAAGTTCTCAGCATGCTTATAGCTGGAGGTTGTTGACATAAGACATCTTCCAAAACCGGGATGGAATGGAAGCTGACACGATTTATTTTATGTTCCATTGGCAAAAAAAAATATTTTTGGAGATTCATTTGAGGTGTTCCATTAACTAGGCTTTCAGGATTATTACTGCTAGTTGCCTCGGCTGTTTGTTGCAGACTTTCTAATGCGTTTATATAACATTTACAAGAAGCATTATGCAAAGAAATACAACTGGAGTTTCTGCAGGATCTCTTCCTCATCCGACTAAGCCTAAGGACATCATAGGTGCCTTTCTCTCTATCTTTCTCCGGGCTTCTCAATTCTAGCCTCTTCCCTGCATAGTTTGAGAAGGAAAAAGCCTGTTACTCATATTGGCAGAATGATCCAGCGGTGTTTTATTTTCATGAGAAAAACAAAAATATACAAAGATAGTTCAGCAATACCTCCGTTAGCCATGCTCGACTCCGGGGTGTTAGAAATGTCAAGTAAAGATCCCATGGAAAGGGAATGTTCGGCCGATGGCCGTTTCCGAGGTGGAAAGGGAGACATGTCCGCTTCTCGGGTTAGCTGGGCAAGGGTTTCTCTCAAACGCCGTCTCTTCCGGTTGCTGTTGGGAGTATTTAGAGACAGTAGCGAGGTCGAGGGCTTCAGTTCGGGACTGTCTGGCTATAGTGAAAGACAGATGTCCCAATTAGTAACCGTTTCTCTTTTACAGCCCAGGTTTTGTACAGATGATCACTTTTTGCCCTTCAAGGTTATTACAGGTAGTTCTTCGACTTACGACCGCAATTGAGCCCCTAATTTCTGTTGCTAAGTACAACATTTGCTAAGTGAATTTTGCCCCGTTTTACGACCTTTCTTGCTGCAGTTGTTAAGTGCACCACTACACTTGTTGAGTTAGTAACCCGGTTGTTAACGTGAACCTGGCTTTTGTGCTGACTTTGCTTGTCAGAAGGTGGCAAAAGTGATGTACGTGGCCCCACGATACTTGCAACCGTCATAAATATGAGCCAAGCGTTGCCAAGCGTCTGAATTTTGGTCACATGACCATGAGGATGCTGCAATGGTCGTAAGTGTGAAAAATGGTCATAAGTCCCATTTTTCAGTCACATTGTAACTTTGAATGGTCACTAAATGAACTGTTGTAAGACGAAGACCACTTGAATTATTGTTTTTTTTTCCCTTGCAAGTTTAACCCGGGAAACACATTTGAGAGATTTAGGCCTGATTTTGCCAATTGTTCCCCAAATTCTCCATTTTCTTGCATAGCAGCATACCTTTTCAAATAAGTACATTGATTCTCCAGCTCTGGCATCCATCTGTATGCTTCCCCAGAACCACTAGAGGGAGAAAAAGTATTTCTGTCATTTATTCAAGCTGGTGCAATTATCTATCATTCCACACTTAAGAATAGCTACTGAGCACGGCTTACCATTATAAAATCTATAAAATCCAGAAAATGTTATTAAATAAATGTGTTTAAGAATCCAGGGTACTATATTTAGACTGACCTCTTGCTTTACAATAAAAAGGCTCGGAGACAACTCAAATGGAATATTTTTTACTGTGTTTTCTTCAACTATAAGATGAGTGCAGCGTTCATCACCAGCAGGCAAATGCTGTCCTCCTGTGGATGAAAAATAATCAATTGCCTGTTATTTTATAATTTCTTTTGCAATCTACTGCTATGAACTATGCATAAAAGGAAATAAGAAAGCTAACAATTGTAAAGAAACATCACAATGTAGTAATGAAACATCAGAGCTAAGGTTTGCTCAATGCAGCCATTTAGAAAGGAAGTTACAAAAGAAATGTAAAGCTTATTAATCTAAATAAATGTAGACTTTTGACATCCTCTAGTAAGGAAGTGAGGTTTGTTCTGTTTATAAACAAAAACTGTATATAACAGTTGCAGCAGATAATAGCTGTCTAAACCAGATACTGTATATAAACATACAGCAAACCCTACTCCCTTCTACCATTGAAGATGTTACCTAGTCTGGTAATAAAATGCCTGTAAGCAAACAATCAAGTTCAGTGAGCATCAAGAACTCCAAAGAAATGTATGAATCCATGACTAGGAATAGCCATATTGTTACTAGATTTCTTATTATAGATTGTGGTGTCAGTTATAATGGAAAGTTCGTATGTCTAGGAAAGCCATATTGTAGTAAGGCTGTGGCTTAGTGTGAGACACAAATTTAGCCATGATTTAACAGGACATGATGGCTAAAATAAAGAATGGATTAGACCAGTGGTTCTCAATGTTTCTAATGCCGCGACCCCATAATACAGTTCCCCATGTTGTGGTGACCCCCAACCACTTATACATCACCGGGTGCCAGGGGCGTGGCCAAAGAAAAGGGGGAAAAATGGCGGACAGCCTTGTTTGGCGACCCCCATGAAATGGTCATTCGACCCCAAATGGGGTCCCGACCCACAGGTTGAGAACCACTGGATTAGACCAAATTTTGCACCCAGCCATAACCTTCTCATATTTACCTTGCATTTCTGTCATTTCTTCCATGTTCTTTTTCTCTTCATCAGAGAATCCAAGAAAACTTAAAATGCAGTCCTGAAATGGTGGAACTTTAAATTCTTTCCTAAATTCTTCATCAGCAGCACAAAAGTCACTAAAAGAGGGAAAGGACAGAGAGAAAGGAATGAATTTAAGGCAACTGTATTAAATTTTATTTCCTATTATTCTGAAATATTTGCTTTCAAGCTAAAAGAATGCTATGCAAGGCCTTTCTACTGGAAAGATCATACGTACATGTCATTTCTTCTCTCCCAAGATCTATAAATCCACTCGGCTTTCATGATTGGAGTGCCAAGACTCACAGCTACCTGCAAATCAAGGGAAGGAACAACCCTTTCATTTTAAAGCACTGTTAACACTTGCATGAAGATACAGATCCATATGCCTATTTCATCTTATCCTTTGTTTGATAAAGCCTTTAAGAGAGAGGCAGGAGATTAAATGAGTCTGGGTTTCAATAAGTCTTAATGATGTAAAAATTAAAAGGGCAACTTGGGAACAAATCTGTACTTTACAAACAAGTATCAGAAATACAACTCAGGTGTTCCTGTCCATCAATTGAGCTCTTCAAAAATAACATCAAATTATAGTATAGTTTTATGACCATTAGAAGTTTGGCATTGTCTCTTCAACCTGCATTTAAATCTCAATTGCACATATAAATTATTGAGATTTTAATTACGCTTCTAAACACCTTTATTTAATTGCAAACCAATATGTTTTAGCTGTTAAAGCAATCAATTAATCCACATAAGAAACATGGAACATAGAACAGTTACAATTCTTCATTTAAGTTTTGAGGACACATTTTCCATTCATTCATTCATTCATTATCTACCATCCCTTATATTTGTATGAGTCACAGTAATACTAGTATGCAGCCTTAAATAAAGTCAATGTATATCTTTTTTTAAAGAAAACAATTATTTGATATGCTGTAAATTGAAAGCCAATAACATAAAATACAAATTTGGTCATTAAAGGCATTTAAATAACAGCACACTGTAAACAAATGTATTTTACTGGGGGAAAAAAGTGCAAAAAACAAAACAAAATAGCATTACAACCCAGTTATGAGATGCCCCTTGTCCATAGCCAATTCTTAGGCACTGGCTTGCTATATAATTTCTATATTAGGGCATTTGCTGCTTTTTTTCTGAAGGATAGCATGAGCTTTCTCCTGATGGATTACAAGTGATCAAATTATCAAATTAACATACAAATTCTATTTTCAATTTTTCAAGCATGCTACAAAATATTAGCATGGCATGTAGCAATAAAATATATAACTAGCAGCGTTAAATGACTCTTGCACTGTTCAATGACCACTTTTAACTGCACAAAATGTGTTTTTAGACACTATCAGAAGAGTTCCAAAAGAAGCATTATTTTCCCTTCATCACAATCATAGAGTTGATCAGAAGGAAGAAAGTCTAAGCAAGATTCCCTCATTCATGAAAGTAGGAAGCTATTATGTCAAAATAAAGAGTATTGGAAATGTTTCATGACTACGCACATATGAGGCTTATAGATAAATATCACTGCAGCATTTTAAGATTGCATCCATTGATCAAAAGTCTATTTCTGTATCCTCTTGCTGCTTTCACTATTAGACCCTGAATTCAATACCCATTCATTGCTTTAAAACCTTGAATTACAGAAATATAATTCTTTTTTTAAAAAAAAAAAAGTTTTGTTGTGTTTGTTGTTATTCTCAATGAACCAAATATTCTGGTATCTCCAAAAAGAAAATCTTCACTTAAACCTTTAACGGAAATTTGAAATTCACTTACTCTGAATTTATCTCCCTGTGTAGAGTTAGCCACCAGATGTGTAACTTTGGAACTGAAGTCCCGCCGAATAATCCCTCCCATGTGATGAACCAAGGTCACCAGTTTAACCTAAAAGCAAAATTGGAACACAGCTGAACATGTTGAAATAAAATTGCCGTTGGACAAAGCAAGGATGTCATTTACACTTCAGAGTAATTTCTCTTGCTGGTTTAAGCTTAAGCTTCACAACAACTGTACAATTCACTCTGAATTCCTACATCACCTGAAATCACGGCTTCTTTAGTGACAATTTGACTAAATCACAAATTGGCTTGATTTATACAATGCTTTACAAACTACAATTGCCAAATACACAAATATATTAAAGCCAAACTCAAAACAAAATGGTTTTTGTCTTTATGTAAAAAGTTAACCCTTTTATAATCTAATGAATATTATCAATTGAATTTAAAAAATTGAATGGAATTTAAAATCCATATCTGCCTTCTGTAAGTCCAACAAATTACTTTTTTATCCATTTCAAATGAATGTGTTAGATCAGATCAATCTAATGAAAGGCTCAGGTGTTCTGTTTCCAAATTCTGAAGCTCTGCTCGAATACCAGATAAGGCCAAGCTTGAAGATAATGTCCAAATATTAACTAATAGTCCAATTGTTCACATCAACCATATTAGTAAAAATTGGCAGAAAGAAAACATTCTTACCAGTTCATCTTTCTTCCTGAATCCTGTGAAGCATAACACAAGATTCGCCATATTTGTGCAGTACAATGGACGACACGTGAAGGGTAGAGGCTGAAAGAAAATCTGATTAATACCATTTCCAAAATTTTCAATTTTTTATTTATTAAACTTATTTTAACCAAAAACCACATTCAAAAGCCTCTTTAATATAGTGCTATTGCAGGGTCTTAAGAAAATAGGACTCTTGAATTCAGGAGGGATAATACTAATACCAATACTAACAGCAAATATAATTTATTAGACTTGTATGCCACTTGACTCTTTGGATACATTCCAAAGAAGACCCCTGAGAGTTTTAATCCTAGGCTGTCACAAGACCATAGTATTCTCTTAAATAGGCTGAATTCAAGCACACAGCATTTTAAAGATAATGAGTACTTTGTATTTTGCAAGGAAAAAATGGACAGTCAGTGCCAACTTTTTAAACACATGTTTGATGTAGCTTCTATTTGCTTTTCCCAAAGGCAAATTAGCTGTTGGGTTTGCATCAATTGCCAGTTCCAGGCTAGACTCAAGGACAGTCCATGGAAAGCATCTGACAAAGTGAAAGACAGCAGTTAGCAGCATACACCATTTTAAGGTCATTTTCTTTCAGTAAAAGACAAAGTTGCTATTTCAACCAAAGCCAACCAAAATTGTTCCTGACTGTAACCTCAGTCTGTGAAATCAGAAGAGGCTCTGGTCCAGAAGCCTCAAGAAAAAAAAATTGACCTTATTCAGAACAGGGAAAATCTATCCTTATGACTCCTGACAATATACAGTACATCATCTTGCTTGGATTCAATTTCATTTTAATATCTCTCATCCAGCCCATTACAGACATTAGCCAAGCATTCAGAGTACCGTGTCATTATTTGAAGATTTCACAGAGAAATACATTGAGTGTCATCAGCCAACTGACAGTGTCATCAGCCAACTGACAGCACCCAACTCCAATGATCTCTCCCAGCAGGCTCACTTAAATGCTAAAAAATACTGGAAAGAATGAAGCCCTGAGGGATGCAATATAATAGCATGTCCTCAGAAGCTCATTGCTGCCTATAGAAAGTGCTAGAAGGTATTTTGTATGGTATGAAGCATCTCAAAGAGAAATGTGTTTCTCACACACCCCAAAAAGATGAATCATACTGACATTGTAGAGCAAGGGCCTTTTTGCAGCAAATTACATTCAATTCACACAGCCCCAGCAGCAAAGTTACTAAATATTTTTTTAAAGCTCATGTTATTAGACCTTTGGAGACATTATCATTTTTCATAAATAACTGTAGTTTTTTTAACAAATCCATACTGTTGCCTATTCAGTACTTTGATGACTTGCTACAGTTCATTATATTTCCGTACTGGTAGTTTTAGTGTAGTTTTGCTATTCCTCCTTATGCATAAATTATTTTAAATATGCTTCTGATAAGAATAGTAGTATGTTCAAGTAAAAAAAATGTTTTTAATTCAATGACAGGAAAAGCTATCAACTGTATTCGCAAGATAAATAAAATATATCTTAAAAGGTAGCAATTTTCCATGTACTTTTATTGTTTTCTTACCTCGCCTTTTTTAGCACACTGAAACACCACTGGGGGCCCAAAGATCCTGCAGTCTGCCTTGTACAAGTTACTAAAAATGGGATCTTCAAAGTCTGATAGTACAAAGACAGCCTCAGCCTCCGGTGAGTCAGAGTCATCATACGTTTTCATAGATTCCATCTTTATGTAAGGCACTTTAATATCCTGCATTGTTTCAATAAATATATATTTATAAATAACACATATAGCAATAGCACTTAAATTTATATACTGCTTCATAGTGCTTTACAGCTCTCTCTTTACAGCATATTGTCCCCAACAATCTGGGTCCTCAATTTACCAACCTCGGAAGGATGGAAGGCTGAGTCAACCTTGAGCTGGTCAGGATCAAACTCCTGACAGTGGGAATGCAGAGTTAGCCTGCAATACTCTGTTCTAACTACGGCTCCTGTAGGTTTTCTATGTTGTTCCCCCAATGAAAGATCTAACCAGACTTCTGAGTGCCGAGCCGTGGGACAAACACAAACATGTGACTTTTTTTTTTTCCAAACAGAAACAAGACCTGTCTAATTTAAGTTCTGGATCATCAGTATAAGACTCATTAATTTTTAGTTTTGTAAAATCTGAAACCAAAACAGGCATGTGAGCAACTTCAAAGCAGATTGGTCCTTCTGTTCACCTGTTTCCACAGGGTGCCATTCATTTCTACCATGCCTTTCATTTATCCTTCTACTAAGTTTTGATAGTAGTGGCTTCCCTCTCTCTCTACTCCAATCCCAAATAGTGCAACATGCTGCATGCAAACAGAGACACCCTTTTTCCCAATATCATATGGATAATACTTATTATTTTTCTTCTGGTTCACCAGAAATAGTTTTTATTATCTTATAAATGGAACTTCCATTGTCTTAAAGCTGCATAGGAAAGGAGAACTTCAGTATGAGAACAACACAGTAAATTAGAGTTTCAGCTGCAGGGATTTTACTACTATGAACAAACAAATTCACAAACCTCTAAGGCTTTTATGAGTTTTTCACATCTTGCAGCTTCCTGAACTAAAATCACCTTGGTTTCAACTGGGAGTATTTCCTCTGTTGAGAAAGGAAGGAAATCATCAGCCTACAAAAAACTTCAAGGGTTAAAGGAAGAAAGAAAAGTGAAGAAACTGGGAAAAAAAACAAACAGGTGATTTGTCTACTACATACATCCTAGAAACAAAATCCCTGTATCTAAAGTTTCTTGAAAAGCAAATTTATTCCCAGAACAGAAAATATTTTAGCGGACTACATTTTAACCAATTGGGTACAGATTGCAATTGGACTAGTTTTTAAAGTGAGCAATCAGAAGAGTCATCATTACTCCACACAGACATTGGGTTATATGAGCCGTTGGTCTCTTTCATATAAAACAGTATTACGTAATGCAAGGATGCTTTACATTTTGAACGAATTAAGGAAACTACCCGTGAAAAATAAGAAATCAAAGGTGCCTTTTCAAGAAGCAACAGGACTTTCTTTGTTTTTCCTTGAGAACATTTTGCTTCTCATCCAAGAATCTTCTTCAGTTCTTTGAACTTCTTGGAACTCTTCAACTTCTTGAGACTTTTTGAAACTCTTCAATTCTTCTTGGAAATCATTCAAGAAGCTTCTCCAGCTCTTTGAACTGAAGAAGCTTCCAGGATGAGGAAGGAAAAACACAAAAAAAGTCCAGTTGCCTCTTGAAAAGCTACCTTTGGGACAACCAAGACTGAATGACTGAGAATCTCCATAGACAATAAGAAATCAGTTTTCAAATACAATAACCCAATAATGATTTTACCAAAACCCCTGCCTAGTTAAAGGAATTGTATTAGCTGTCCTCAATAACTATACTACACTCAGGTTTTAATGCACTCAGTAAGTTGAGATCAGATTCAGGAGCAAGTAACAATATGAGCAAATGTTTTCAGATTAGTTCTTCCAGTTCTGTGAATATTTATCTATATTATACTTACATCTATATAATTTGCACAATTCTGGAGTAACACCAATCACACTTTTAAAGTGACGTGTGCTTATCACCTTAGTGCTTGCACCCATATCCTTAGCTTTATTTATTTAGAAAATTGATATAGCTGCCTATCTTAAATATATAACTGGGCAGTACATAATCCATATTTAAATAATATAAAAACCTCTATAACCAAATAAAATAATCCAGTTGAGGAAAACAATAACCAAGATATTTCATTTTAAAAAAAACATGTATTTTGGGCTCCCCTAACATCCCAGTCCTAATATATAAGGGGAAAGCAAGGTTTTAATAATCTCCCTGAAAGCTAAGAGGGTCAGGGCCATCCAGACCTCAGGGAGGGGGCTGTTTCATAGGCAGGGGCTTTGACAGGGAACACTTCTCCTTGGATACACAAGATGGCACTGTATGATAAAAGGGGACTTGGAGTATGTCCATCCTGTTCAGTCTAGCAGAACAGACAGAAAATCAGATAGACAGTTCTAGGAATAACTTGGCTTCGTGCTGTTGCATTTGGAAGGATACTGGAAGCCAATGCAGCTCAAGCTGCAATGGTGTTGCATAAATGAACTTTGGAGCACTAAGACTGCATGTCCCACTGTGTTGTGCAATACTTAAAGCTTCCAAGTTTTCTTCAAGAGCAATTCCACAAAGAACACACAACAATATAATCCAGCTGGAACTTGGCCAAGGAATTAGTGATAGGGATCTGAGCTTCGCAATTCAGAAACAAGTGCAACTGGGGCACAAGATCAATCCATGATATAAGCCTGCCTTATATCTAAGTTCACTTCTAGAAACCTGTAGGATGCACACTTCTGCCAATATTTTGCAAGCAAGGTTCATACACTGAATTAAACCATACTCCTGGTGCTACCCTGAGAGGACCTACAGAGGTTTTTCTCCCAAGTCTTTTGTTCATGAAAAGGGATTACCAGAATTTTCCTAGCTGGTCTACGCTTAGCCAAATAATTTGAACGAGGAGCAAACAAACTACAGGTAGTCCCCAACTTACAACTGTTCGTTTAGTGACTGTTCAAAGTTACAACGGCACTGAAAATGTGACTTATGACCGTTTTTCAGTTACGACCTTTGCACATGATCTCCACATGATCATATGATCAAAATTCAGATGCTTCGCAACTGGTTCATATTTATGACCATCATGTGATCACTTTTTGCGATCTTCTGATGAGCAAAGTCAATGGGGAAGCCACAATCACTTAACAACCCGGGTTACTAACGTATCAGTGGGAGTGATTCACTTAACAACTGTAACAAGAAAGGTTATAAAATGGGGCAAACTCACTTAACAAATGTCTCACTTAACAACAGAAATTTGGGGCTCAATTATGGTAGTACGTCGAGGACTACCTATAGTATTGTTATCAGAAATGTGCATTGTTATTTCTAGTGAGCTGCAGAAACCTTTGCAATGAACTATTAATCATCCACAGACCAGGATCAACTCAGTTAAATGCGTTGCATCATTTGCTCCTGAAGCGGAAGGAAGAGTTATTTTTAGCTCCATTATTTGGGAATTCATCTGGCACAAGCCTTCAAGAAAAGACTTAGTGTTCCTGTTGACACTTTTCAAACGTTTTAGTTCTATATGTAGAACTAGACTTTCTGGTTTAGTTCTTTAGAACTTTTATCTGGGGGGGGGGGGCGGAGAACCAAGCTAAGCAGAAAAGCAGCAAATTTTTCAAAACGGCAGACTCCTCTCCAAGACCTGTTCTCAAGAAAGGTGGTTGGCAAGAGGAAAGAGTTGGTCTTCTCACTGCAGTGGTTGTCCTCTGTGCTGGATACCACAGGAAAAAAAAACACTTTCTGATGAGCCAGTTTTAAGGAAGCATTCAAGAAAGGGTTTCTAGGATTGACAGGCTGCTTGGGAAAACCACTTCTCGTGTTGGCTTGAACTGCCAGCTTCGGATAGCACCAGAGTCCAAAAGCTCTGTGTTCCTTGTTTGAGCTATTCTCGGTGTAAGGCCTGAGTAGTGTATCTTATCCACTCAGTGGTTCAGTGTGAAGTCTCCAATCCTCTCCTGCATTGGTGAGATTAGAGGTCCTTGTGCTCTTTGAACTTGGTTGTTTTTTTTGCAGATGTTTCATTATTCAAATATTGTAGGCAACATCATCAGTACTCATGAGATTGTTCCAAGAAGGATTGAGTCTTGTAAAACATATTTCATATTTTGCATTACATTTATTAGAATCTTTCTAGATTTCACCATCTTTACCCGTTGAATAGCAAGCCCTAACAGAGAGAGCCTCCTTGTTAGTGAAATATTTTACGGAATATCCATTCATAGATAACCCAACCATCCTCCCTCACTGTTTCCTCTTAACTGAAGAAAACAATTTAGTTATGGTATTTTCGTAATGTATTTATGATTTAATATCTAAGGTGCCTTTCTATTACTATTTACTATTTTTACTGAAATTCGTAGCGCCTTAAGGTTCCATTCTGATGCCAAAAAGAAAAATAGAAGCTTTTTACTTCGATAAATAAATGCAACATATAAGCCTGTGGGCAGACAGGCTACATTATGATTTTTATTATCTTCATGTCTAGGGACATTGGTTTCTATTATAAATAAATTGTAAACAAGCATGCATTTGAATGTTTACATCCCATACACTAAACATATGCAGAAAGAACCACTAGCCTAAAAGTCAGTGTGGGGGGAATACACTAAAATAAAAATCTACATTACCTTTACAGTCAGACGCATCGGGGGTGAATACATTTTCCTTGGAATTTTCTATAATTTTTGAGTCAAGAACAGAAGAATCTGCCAAGAGGCTTTTCCTTGTATCAGACATGAATGTAGTGTTCTCAGTCATGGTCAAAATGGCATCCCTCTCCTACAGCTGCACGAGAAACATCCAACTTAAAAATATGACAATAAGTAATCTGCTTAAGATGGTTAGCAACACTGTAATTTTGAGGATTCTCACATTTCATTACTAAGGTTTTCTCTTCAGAACTGATAAATATACATCAATATGATAAATCTTCAGAGACAATACAATGGAAACTAATTGAATAAGAAAAATACAGATGGTGAGAGTCAGGAAGAGATTAAGGAAGTAAGATAAACCATATAGGCAAAAATAGCTGGGTCTGAGAAAGGAAGAGGGAAGTCATAAAATAGATAGTTTTTTTAAAGGAAATGGCTAGCCAGGAAGGTTGAATGGAGAATAGGAAAATAAGCCGAATAAGATAAGAAGAGAGGCACACTGAATTGAAAAGCAGGAAAGAACTTATTGTTTAAAATGGGGACATAAATATATCTGAGTTTAAAATAACCATTTACATGTCTAATTTTTCTTATTCTTATTGTATATGTGAATATGATTTAGTATGTTATCAGGAAATGTGTATAGGCGGACGGAAAGAGTGTAACCTCATACTACCTCAGCCAATGGGGAAAGAGGAGGGCTGTAGCAGCCGGTGATAGGGATGAATAAAAGAAGGAGATATTTTGGGTTAAAACTTTGGAGAGAACCAAGCTTTGATAGCTTCTCTCCCCGCTTATTGCAATAAACGAAACAAAAGGCCTTCACTGTGTCTTGGCTGGTTATTGGTCAGGCGAGCTTGCCTCTGGTCACGAAGGAAAGTAGCCAGAAGCACATAACAGAACCAGTATCAAAGAATCCCACCCCCCATTTTATATTTCTACTGCTACTGACTGCTGTTTCCATTCAAGCCTCCATTACAATATGAAGACTCCCATAGGAAAATTCCTAAGATATACAGAATCTCTCAGGTGAACAATTACCTATTAAATAAGGGGGAAGGCAAAATTAAAGGTAATATTTAAATGTGTCTGGGAAGACATGTATCTTCATAACTTACAATTATTGAGATTGTAGTGCTGCCAAAAAGATGTACAGTAGATGACCCAGCTGAAGGAAATGATATGCCCCCCTGGAATTCATCATCCATAGAACTGGCAGAATAGCCCAGAATAAAGTAAGGACATGCCATTGAAATAGAAAGGCAATCACCACCATCTCCATGGAAGAGTATAATCAGACTTGATACAAGCTAAAAAAGGGTTCTCAAATATTCTGAAGCATACATACAACATATACCCTTTAATAGTGGACCACTGGTAAAAGGAAACAATTTATTAAGACTGAAATTGACCTATTGCTTTTATTTTGAAGCTATAGCTAAGAATCATTTCTTTTAAGAAAAAATAGATTTAGAGTCATCATTTTATCTCAGAATGAAGTATTTTCATAATGTAAAAAGGACAACTTTTGTTGTTTTTTAAATAGAACTGCAGATACCATGTTTTGCTAAACACAAGCCCAACTTTTTAGCTATAATTGGTTTGCCCAATGTAAAAAAAAAGTGTATAACTGATGCGATGGAGGATAACTTCTCAATACAATATTTCTTGCTCTATTATAACAGTAGAATACAAAAAATTGTTTTTCAAATTACCCTAAGCCTTAACAATGAAACAAAACCCCAGGAAGTATATCTATTGGAATCAGTGCTCTCATTTTAGTTTTTTTTTCCTGTCTTTTATTTTTGGTCAACTCAATGTAGCAAATCACAGAGATTAAAACCCTACATGGAAAGAAAGATGCCAAAAAGTTAAAGCTGGCTTTTGACTACATTGAGGAACATGAGGCAATATTGCTGATCCACACTGGATAATTTACAAAGCCAAAGAATACTAAAAAGAGTATGTGTTTCATTGATTATAGAAAGCTTTTGATTGTATTGATTGCTTCAAATTGCAGAAAGTGCTCAAAAAAGTAGGAATCCCAGACATATCATTATCCTCATGTACAAGTCAAGAGGCCACTGCACATCAGAACAGGAAGAAACAGACTGGCTCCAAGTTGGCAAAAGGTTTGGATAAGGCTCTCCCTCTGAGAGCTGAAGGCAAAAAATTTCATTTTAATGTATGCTGATTAGTGTACATTTAAAGTGACAATAAAGTTATTCTACTCTATATACACAACCCTTATGTATTCATCCTATTTGCTGAAGATACATTAAGGAACTGTATAGGAAGATGGTTTTAAAATTGGAGGAAGAAACATCAACAGCCTCTGCTATAAAATAAAGATGATGCTACATTGATAGCCAAAAATGCAAAGATTCTGCAAGCTTACATGCTGAAAGATTCAGTGGAAATAGCTTGCTATGGGTTCTGTCATTTAGGAAGGTACATTTGGTAGATCTTAGACAATGAGCCTTCTGAGCTGTGGCACCAAGATTTGGAACATCCTTCCAGAGGTGAGATTGTCACTATCACTCTTAACTTTCCAAAAGCCCCTCAAGATCTGGTTTTGTCATTAAGCCTGAGGAACACCAGGAACTAAACTGGTGAGGTTGCTCTGTTATTGTTAACATTCCTTTGCTCTTTATTTCTTTTTCCGCTGTGTTTTAATAGTTTTTAAGGCTTTTTAATAATCATTATTTTTACCTTTGTTGTACACTGACAGAGTCACCTGATTTGCTAGATGGGCAGCTACATAAGTTTGAAAAATAAATATAAATAAATGTCAAATAGTGAAAAAAATGGGACTAATATATAAAGACCAAACTAAGGGCAACAGCTAGAACAACCAGCCTTAGAGCTGACAATGAAGATATCAAAGTCATAATTTCTGTGTTTTGGGATCAACCATCAACAGTAACAAGCAGTCAAGAAATATACCACAGATTAGCACTTGGTAGAACAATCATGGAAAGCCTTGGTTGACATTCAAATCTGTGATGTATCTATACCTATAAACATCAGAATAGTGCAAGGCATGTTATTTCCTGTGACACTCTCTGGAGGTGAAAGTTGAATCTTAAAGAAAGAAACAGGATAGGACGAGGTCACCCAGCAGCAGCAAGTTATAGTGGTTGTGTGTGCACCTTTAGATTTGAAACAACAGACTAGGAATAGATTGACATCGAGAAAATCTATTTATGTGATTGCCTACTCATCTGGACTGATAATGAGCCAAAGTCACCCAAGTGGCCTACATGCCAGGACTAGAACTGTTTTGTTTTTGTAGACAAAACAGAAAAAGGGTGCATTATTTATGCCACCTTGAATTGTACAAAATAAAAGTGGATGATAAATCCAACTAATAAAATTGCAAGGCCTTTGCAGAGGTTGACTGAAGCCCCCTTTTTTCTTTGACCCCATCCCCTTCTGCCATCTTATTTTCTTCCCTTATTAAATGCCTTTTAAGAATGCATAAATTGTCCAGAGTCACTGTGAGTTGGGCAGCATATACATTTAATATATTAGTAATAGTAATTACTACAAATTACTATTACATATTTTATAATATACCCTTATAATAAAATTACAAATCTTAAGATTATCCAGTTTTTAATGCTTTATATTGAATAAACTGTACACCGCCTAGACCCGTCTATGAGGGAGATGGGCAGTTGAGAAATTTGATATATAAATAATTTAGTAACTGATGAGATAACAGAAACAAGGTAGATGAGAGATTAAAGCTCACCTCCTTTCGCAACCTATAGCTTTCCAAATGGGGTAGATTTGCACCCCCATTCACCAATTCGCCGAGGATTTAATAACCTAAGCAGGTGCACCCAAGCAATGAAGGGAGGACAATTTCCTCATTAACGTAGCCTATCACAGAAGCCTTCTGGCTTCCAGGTGAACCCGGTCTGACTCTTTCAGAACATCCCACGATTTGCTGGCTGTGGATTATGGGAGCCGTAATCCCCCTCCCCCCCACACACACACTGCTTTTGAGAAAGACTGGGCGGCCTCTTGGGAGGGCTTGCAATCGGACACGGAGCTACGAGAAGGGTCTGTAATTCTCCCCGCCACCCGCGCGTCACGCTGTCGCTCCTGACCGACTCATTTCCCGGCTGCACGCTGACCCTCCACCCGCCGCCTCACCGTTCAGGGTACCATCGCGGTCCGCACACCAGCCACCATCCCAGAACCACCCGCGACACCCGCACCTCCCAATTCAAAAAACGAGCGTCCACTCTCGGCCGGCTCCCGATTGGCTGTCTCGAGGAGGGGAGGGGGAAGCGCGAGCGCGCGCGGCTCGGTTCTGAAATGCCGAGCTCCTATTGGTTGACGATTCCGGGAGGGCGTTCCAGGTCTCCTTACCTTTACTTGAAAATTCTTCAGAGAACGGGCACGTCTGAATGGGCGGTAACTTATTGGTCGAGATGAGTCTCCTCCAGCCTATGACGAAGAGGGGGGGGAGAATCTTTTCAGCTGACACCCCGCTGTTTCCCGCCTCTTGCGGGGATGAGCTCACCTGAGATTGGTTGGAAGATATGAGGAAAGGCCTTACCTTTCAACGGTTGTTGAAGCGACGGAGGGAGGAAAGACCGGATTTGCCGTTCAAGTTCTACTGTTTCAGCTGCCAGGGTTGGTCCCGCCTTTGATTTAAAAAAAAAAAAAAAATTCCAGATTTGCTCGCGGCTTTCCACGCAAGGATTTCTGGGAATTGTAGTTTTGAAGATTCAGATCCAAACATATTTTGTTTTTGGAGAATAACGGATGGGCCCAGCCAGGTCCCCTGAAATTATTATTGGCGAGCCATGAAACAAAATATAAATATCAATATATAATATTGATATTTTTTCATGGCTCACCAACAATGTAGTTTAAAGCAAAACTTTATGGTTTACCAAGAGGTTTGGTAATCTGATTCCCCAAAGAGATGGTTACCGTACTTAGAATTTGATCCTACAAGATCCAAGGCTCAACCAGAATTCTCACTCAGGCACAAATAACCAGGCTCAAATTAGCTTAGTTTGGACACCTGATGAGAAGACCCTACTCTCTAGAGAAGGCTCTGATGCTGGGAAAGATGGAAGAAAAGAGGATGATCAGCAGCAAAATGGATGGATTCAATTTACATTGGCTGAGTGTGCCATAAAAGAACAGGTTAGAGATTGATCATCATGGGCAAGATCTATGTGGTTCCTCCTAGATGAAAACAACCTAATGGCATATCATCAAAATCTTATCCAAGGTAAGGTTCTCAGATTAAATACATTCAACCCATCTAAGGTGATTAGTGAATCAAGCCCCTAAGTTTGTACCAGATGCTAAACCATAATATACAGGTAGTCCTCAACTTATCACAATTGAGCCCAAAACTTCTGTTGCTAAGCGAGACATTTGTTAGGTGAATTATGCCCCATTTTACAGTCTTTCTTGCCATGGTTGTTAAGTGAATCTCTTCGGTTGTTAAATTAGTAAAACGTTTGTATGAATCTGGTTTACCCATTGACTTTGATTGTCAGAGGGTCACAGAAGGTTATCACATGACCTGGGATGCAGCAACCATCATAAATATGAGTCAGTTGTCAAGCATCTGAATTTTGATCATGTTGAGTCCTCAAGTCAACAGCGAATGAATACAGCACATTCTGTAATTCCAACAGCCCTTTATTTTAAGTAGTTCTCTCTCTGTCACAGCTCTGAGGCTCGCAGGCCTCTCTGACTCCTTTAATAGCATCCCCCGGGCAAAAAGGTAACATTTAGGCCGCTTCCACGCCTTGCGCATGCACGCGAAGCCGGCGCCACCCAGTCTGGTCCCGGGCAGCTTGCAACTGCCCGGGACCATTGCAACGTCCCGAGCCTGCCTTTGCAGGCTCAGGACACAACAGATCATGTGATCATAGGGATTGTGCAATAGTTCCTAAGTGTGAAAAACAGTCATAGATCACTTTTTTGAGGGCCGTTGTAACTTTGAACTGTCACTAAGTAAACTGTTGTAAGTCGAGGATTACCCCCTAATTGGGCAGGCTGACTTTGCAAGATAGTAAATCAAGATTCATGCTGACTAAATGGGCCTGGTCAATTATGGTGTGAACCCAATATCAAATTAGCACATTTTATACATCTGTTGAATTTTCAGTGAAGAACACAAAGATTGTTCACATTCATATGAAGGCAAATTACATTGCTCTTTGTTCATTCAGAAGAAAGGTAAAAACCACTAACATATTTCTTTAGGGAGCATTTTATTACTGCACGTGTCTTTCCTGTTTTGTAAGTATTATTCTAGATCAGCCATAAAGATATCAACATATTGAGGCACCATGTATGTGCCCATACCTAGGGCATTGATTTCTAGCTACATGTTATTGCCAGAGGAAATAGTTATGGGTGTGGCACAAAGTGAAACATTCTGGAGGCAAGGCATGCTGCTTTGGCACAAGTACTAATGTTATTTTGACTTCAAGTCCATGTTCACTGCCTTGAATTATTTATAAAAAAATAAAGACGAGATAAAAAATATATAGTGCCTCAATACCATAACAGCTAAAATGGCATTGTCAATGAGATTGCCTATGCCCTACGGAATCCTATCATAAAGGGAATCCCCTAACTCCACCTCCTTGAATTCTAAATGTGAAGCTTATTTATGTATTTATTTTTTCTATTTATTTGTATCCTGCCTTTATTATTTTTACAAATAACTCAAGACAGCGAACATATCCAGTATGCTGAGGATGAAGTTTCGCTCTCCGAGCTTGTAGATTGGTTTCCGAATGTTTCGTTACCTGGCTAGGTAACATCTTCAGCAGAGTTTGGGAGATGCCAATATCAGTGTTCCATTTATAAGGGCTTCAGGTGTGGGTATGTTAAGTGAGGGACTTGTGATGGGTCAGACAAGACCTCACTTGACACACCCACACCTGAAGCCCTTATAAACAGGACACTGTGACATCCCCTAAATTCCACTGAAGATGTTACCTAGACTGGTAACGAAATGTTCAGAAACCAAACCACAAGCTCAGAGAACAAACCATCACTCTCATCCTACAACCGAGCTACAGATATTCGCCATTATTGCATATCCAGTATGCTTTCCTTCTATTGTCCCCATACCAAAACCCTTGTGAGGTGAGTTGGGCTGAGAGAGAGTGACTGGCCCAAAGTCCCCAGTTGTCTTTGACAGCTAAGATGGGACTAGAACTCACTGTCTCCTGGTGATTGGCCCAAAATCACCCAGCTGGCTTTCATGTTATTTGAACTCATGGTCTCCCACTTTCTAGCCTGGTGCCTAAAGGACTAGATCAAGGGTTCTCAACCTTGACAACTTTAAGACTTGTGGACTTCAACTCCCAGAATTCCTCAGCCAGCAAAGCTTAAACAACAAGTCTTAAAGTTGCCAAGGTTGAGAACCCCTGCACTAGATCAAACTGGCTCTATATTTGGTCTTGAATGAAGGTTGGTCTCCTGTTTACGTAAGGACTTAATTGTGTGTGGTATAACTACATATGAAGCTATGCCTTGTTATTTCTTCCAGCATTAAGTTATAAAAAAGATGCTTGATTTTTCACCAATCTGGCCATTTTATCACGTGTGAATGGAAGATACCAAGAGAAATGAACTTACTTTACAGGAAGCAGAGCTCTTAACTATCTTGTGCTTACATGCAAGATGAATATTTTAATTCATCTGTTTCAGGTCAATATCCTTGTCAAGCGTAATTATATCTATACTATAAAGTAATTTCAAAGATTGTTGATGTAACAGTATTGATTAAAAGGCTAAAGACAATAACATTTCCACTTATGTTATTTTTGTTCCTAACTAAATCACTTTATATGTGTGGGAGAGTATGCATTTGGTTTCACCTGTAAGTTTCAAAATAATGATTCTATTGTCTGCTATTGCATAAGATGAGTATCATATATGTAATATATTTCATCCATTGTGTGCTTACAGTGAGACTTATGGAATTGAGTTGGATAGCTTCTGAGAAATTATACACCAAATTGAGCTGTACATTTCAGTGAGAAACTAATTAATTATATAAAGTTATTGTTAAGTCCTCGCATTAATGGCGAATGATGAAGACACGTTTTCCAGAACAGTTCTTTATTGTGCTTAGCCAAAACTCCAACAACGAGCAAAGGCACGCAGGCCCCCTTTTATACGTCCCAAATCCCCGGACATAATGGCAACATCGTCAGGCACTTTTCGCGCCTTGCACATGCGCTCAAGGTCGGCACCACTCAGTCTGGTCCCAGGCAGCTTCTGCAAAGCCTGGGAACCCTTGCAACGTCCCGAGCCTGCATTTGCAAACTCAGGACACAACACCCCTCCCCCCTAGCTTGAAACAATCCTGACATCTTCTTTTGGGAAGAGCGTCAAACTTCCTCAGAATCAAGCATGGAAGGGGGTGCCTGAGGTTGCCTCCGCCCACAAGTTCCTTTCTTTTGTTTGTTAATCAAGGACACCCAAAATCATAAGTAAACAAACTACATTATTAACTAATGACCTTAAGGGTAGTACCCCTTGTAACTTGACAGCAACTTCACAAAGTCTGAAAGATATTTGGGAGGGCACTTGGCCCTTTGCGACCTCCTCGGACCGGGAGAGTTTGCTTGTTTCCTTTTCTCGCCCACCAGGCTTGGTGAGCCAGGACATTGCTGCCCACTTGTCCCAGAAGACCCTGGTGTTGTTGCCTGACCTATCTGCTCGCCTGCCAGGCTCAGTAGGTCAGGGCTTTGCTGCCCCAAGTACCTGGTTGACCTGCCCATTTGCTGGCTGGCTGGGCCCTCTGAGCCTGAACCAGCATCCCTTGGGGGGGTAGTCCCCAAATCCACAATGGACCTTTCTTGGGAGCACTGTCCCTCGAACTCAAGGTCAGCAGATGGAGAAACAGGGGTATCTGCAGGGCCCCAATATCCAGCGGACCCCAAGGTCATGCCTGAGATTCCAGAATCAGAAGTATCCTCTCTGTTCTGCCCCCTTACAGAGGACTTCCTTCTGGGAGCAATTGCGGAATTTGGTGCTCCCATGCTGTGTTGCCAGTTCTCTTGCAGGATGTGAGTTGTGTGGATACCCCCGGTCAGTCTCCCCATCTGGAGAATTACTAGTTATGGGTGAATAATATAGATACCCCCGGTGTGACTCCCTGGCTGGAGTAAGTATGGGTGTGTGAGATGACCCCCTGCACAAATGGCTGCCCCATGACTTCCTGTTCGGAGCACTTGCAGAACCTTGAGATGGGGGATCAATGGCCTCCTCAGCGGCCAGTAATGGCTGCTGACATTGATTCTCAGAATGCACTCTATAGCCTTCCTCCCCCCCCCCAGAGCAGAGCCAGGAGTGGAAGGATGAAGCTCCAGCCTCGTACGCAGCTGATCTATGTGCCGCCGAAAAACGCGGCCGTCTTCCAAGGACACTTCATAGGACAAAGGTCCAAGAGACCTTGCAGACCACAGCCGGTACCCAGAGGTGACCAGGCCCGTAGTTCCAAGTCCAGACCGGAGCACCCACTTGCAGGCTCCTCGGTGCCCATGGATGCAGCACCTGAGACGCCACCTGATCCGGATGCAGCCTGTCCAGCTTTGTAATAAGCCAGCGACCCTATCGAAGTTCAGCAGGGCTCTTCCCGGTGGCTGTGCAAGGTGTGGTGCGATGTGCAAGAAGAAAGTCTGCTAACCTGTGATGCCAGTCACCGTAAGTCAGTCTCTTAAGGGCATCCTTGGTGGTGCGCACCATACGCTCAGCCATTCCATTGGTGGATGGGTGGAAGGGAGCTGAAGAAAAGCCTGGAACTCAGAAGAGGTAAATTGAGGACCGTTATCGGGAACCAGAACATCTGGAAGGCCATGAGCTGCAAAAATACTCTCAGCACCTGGATAGTCTTGGCAATAGTAGTGGAGGACACAGAAACAATCTCTAGCCACTTAGAATGGCTATCAACAACAACCAGGAAGAATCGCCCCTGAAAGGGCCCAGCGTAATCTATATGTACCCTAGACCATAGAGTTTGAGTTTCCTCCCATCTATGAACTGGGGCCTGAGGCATTTCAGGCAGAGATTGTTGGCACACACGACACCCATGTACCTGGGCCTCGATGGCTTTATCAAGGCCAGGCCACCACAAATGGCTGCACACAAGCGCTTTCATCCTGACTATCCCAGGGTGTCCCTCATGTAGAGAGTGCAGGGCTCT